ATTATGATCTTCTCCCTTGCAGGCATGGTGCCTGCAAATGGAGATCACTCTCCCCTTCCTTTGTGCAATCCCTACTGCCTCCTGCATTCCTTGAATTGCATTTTTTGAATTCTAAATCAAATCCCTCACTCCTTCCCAAAATCTGACAGCTTGGAGCAGGCACATGCACTCTGAGCCAACATAACGGTCCAATCACAGGCTTCTCTATAAAATGGTCTGGTGCAGTATTCCTTTACTTTTAACTCTGCAATTTAAAACATTGTCGTTTGCTGATTACAGGGTGACTAGTGGCTGACTTCCCGATATCTACTAGAGGTACTTCCGCTGAATAACAGTCAGACTCAGTTCTTAATCAAGTGCTCATAGGGAGCATTTGATTAGTTGAGATCATTAATAATGGGGATTTAAACACGTGGAATGGCTGTGGGGATAAAAACACATGGAGGGGCGGAGGGATTTAAACACATGGAATGACTGGGGTGGGATTTAAACACATGGAAGGGCTGGGAGTATTGAGACACATGGAGGGGCTGGGGGGAATTGAAACACAATGAGAGGCTGGGGTGGTATTAAAACACTTGGAGGGGCTGGGGAGTAATTGAAGCACATGGAGGGGCTGGAGGGAGAAAATGAAACACATGGAGGGGCTGAGGTGGAATGAGACACAGGGAGGGGCTGGTGGGGAAGGAGACACATGGAGGGAGGGAGAGGGCAATTTTTTGCACCAGGGCCTGGAGGTTTCTAGTTACACCTCTGACTATAGTGTTAGGAAAATATGTTTGTATTCCTAACACTATTGTGTTCCTTAAGATGGTTTAATTTTACAATTTTTACTTTTTAGGTGTCCCTGAACAGCAATTTGTACATGGAAATGATGTTTTGTCAAAATAGTTTCTAAGTAGTTTGACAAAACCAGGAATAATGGATTCCAGAGACCACTTGGCAATAAGGCTACATTGTTCGTGTTTTTTTATCTTGTGACTGTTTTGCAGTGGAGAGAGAAATGGATGGGAGGGAGCAACTGAGACAGGAATGGAGGGGCTGCAGGGGAAGGAAGGGGAGAGATAGAAATGGATGGGGGGGAGCAGGGGAGAGAGAAATGGAGGGGAGGGAGAAAGGGAGACAGAAATGGAGGGGCTGCAGGGGAAGGAAGGGGAGAGATAGAAATGGATGGGAGGGAGCAGGGGAGAGAGAAATGGAGGGGAGGGAGAAAGGGAGACAGAAATCGATGGGGCTGCAGAGGAGAGATAGAAATGGATGGGAGGGAGCAGGGGAGAGAGAAATGGAGGGGAGGGATCAAGGGAGACAGAAATGGAGGGGCTGCAGGGCAAGGAAGGGGAGAGATAGAAATGGATGGGAGGAAGCAGGGGAGAGAGAAATGGAGGAGAGGGATCAAGGGAGATGGAAATGGAGGGGCTGCAGGGCAAGGAATGGGAGATATAGATATGGATGGAAGGGAGCAGAGGAGAGAGAAATGGAGGGGAGGGAGCAAGGGAGACAGAAATGCAGGGGCTGCAGGGCAAGGAAGGGGAGAGATGATATGGATGGGAGGGAACAGGGGAGAGAGAAATGGAGGGGAAGGAGCATGGGAGACAGAAATCGATGGGGCTGCAGGGGAGAGATAGAAATGGATGGGAGGGAGCAGGGGAGAGAGAAATGGAGGGGAGAGAGCAAGGGAGAGAGAAATGGAGGAGCTGCAAGGGGGAGAAAGAAATGAAGGGACTGCAGGAAGGGGGGAGACATATGGAGGGGCAAGAGTGGTGGGGGGAGAAAGACACAAGGCGGTGTCTGGGGAGAATGAGACACATGGAGGGGCTGGGGGGAGAAAATGAGACACATGGGGGAAAATGAGACACATGGAGGGGCAAGAGTGGAGAGAAAGACATATGGAGGTGCCTGGGTGGAATGATACACATTTAGGGGTGGGGCGGAGGAAATGAGACACATGTAGAGGCCTGGAGGTGGGGGGGAGACACATGGAGGGACTCGAGTGCTGGACCATCATGGACAGGCCCGGACTGGCCATCGGGCACACCGGGCAAATGCCCGGTGGGCCGCGGTGGCCGTGGGCCGAGGCCGGCAGGGAGATCACAGGATCTCCCCTGCCGGTCTTTGCAGGGCCGGCACTGTCTGAACGCCGGCCCTGCAGTAGTCTACAGCGGGCCGGTGGGGAGATCAGAGATCTCCCTCACCGGCCCACATAGAGAATACTGCGGCCGCCGGGGGGAGAGAGGGAGGGAGCCAGCCTGGCAGCAGAGGAACCGGGTGGAGCTTTAACTTACAGCTCCGCCGGGTTCCTCTCGCGAGATTCGGAGTGTTGCCATGGCAACGCTCCGGGTCTCGCGAGAATGAACTCTAGCCCAACAGGCTAGAGTTCACTCACCACTTGGACCACCAGGGATGGATGGCGGCAGGATCCCCCCTCCCAGGCATAAGGTAAGCAGGGAGGGGGGATATAATCAGGGCACAGCAGGGCACATAACACTCCCAGCACCCTCACAGACACACACACTGCACCCTTGACACTCACAGCACCCTCACACACACACTGCACCCCTGACACTCACAGCACACACACACTGCACCCCTGACACTCACAGCACACACACTGCACCCCTGACACTCACACACACACACTGCACCCCCCTTACACCCCAGCACCCCTCACAGCACACACACACAGCACCCTTGACACTCCCAGCACCCTCACACACACACACACTGCACCCTTGACACTCACAGCACCCTCACACACACACTGCACCCCTGACACTCACAGCACACACACACTGCACCCCTGACACTCACAGCACACACACACACTGCACCCTTGACACTCACAGCACCCTCACACACACACACTGCACCCCTGACACGCACTGCACCCTCACTCACACACTACACATCTGACACTCACAGCACACACAAAATGCACCCCTAACACTCACAGCACCCTCACACACACACATTGCACCCCTGACACGCACAGCACACACACTGCACCCCTGACACTCACAGCACCCTCACACACACACTGCACCCCTGACACGCACATCACACACCCTCACTTACACACACTGCACCCCTGACACTCACAGCTTCCTCACATGCACATAGCACCCTCATGCAAACACAGCACCCACTCACACACAGCACACTGCACCCATCACACACACAGCACCCTTACCCACAAAGCACCATCACGCAAACGCAGCACCCATCACTCACACACACACCGCACCCCTCTCTCACACACACTACACCCCTTACACACACACACACACAGAGCACCCTCACACACACTGCGCAATATGCTTTCCTGGCATTTTTGTCTCCTGGTATCCCAACTATGGAGACACCAGAGACAAATTTCAAGCAAACACAGTGCAAGCATGTTATTAAATTTGCTTGCGCTGTGCAGAACAAATACAGGGTATTTTTCTCATGCCAGAGCTCTTCAGCAGAGCTCTGCGCATGGTCTACCCTGGAAGAGCATTGAACCAACATGCTCACTTTGTGATGGGGCGTGCTTGTCATTGGTGATGACAAAACACACCCTATCTGGCCCCGCCCCCTTTTTAGTGGGCCGTTGTAATTAAAAAATGCCCGGGCCGAATTTTCTTCCCAGTCCGGCCCTGATCATGGACTTCAACAATCAGTATCTCCATGGGGCTAAAATGAGGGGAAATGAAAACAGTCACAACTGTGAGAACCATGTAGAAAGGCAGGGTTAATTGGTAGAAAAGTGATGTAGCTATTTTTGGAGGGTGGAAGTTTATAGGAGATTTTATGGAGCAATCATAGTGGGGGGGAGGGGGTTAATTGGTAGGGCAATGGGGGAGCTATGTAGTGGAAGGGGTTTAATTGGAATATGTGAGAAGCTAATATGTTGGGAGAGGGGGGTAATTAGCAGGGGACTTGGGAACTAGTCTGGGGAGGGAAGTAATTGGAAAATATGGGAAGTAGTGAAAAGGGAGGTCATTCATTGGTAGGGGGATATGTGGTGATGTTTTGGGGAGAAGCAATTAGGCAAGGGGATATATTAGGATATTTGTTGGGGAGGGAGGGCTTTTGGTACATAAACATGGGGATCTGTGTTGATAAGAGGAGCTGAATTGGCATGGAAATAATAGGGATGTAGAGAGGAGAAGGTACATCTCAATGTTTAAATGGCTGTGTGAATGATAGCCTGTGTGTATATACAACAGTGCATCTTTTTTTTATTCAGGCATTGCACCTTTAGAAAGGGAACACTGACAGCTGTGTGCTACGGTAAATGTAATGTCACACAAACACGCCCGCGCACACACACTTTTCTTCTGTCCTTGTAGTGTGCAGCTTGCCATTCTGTGGGATCTATTTGACTGATGGATTGTGGATCAATTAGCTTTGCAACGGAAGTGAAAGTTTGCCAAAGCTCCACCCACTGCAAGGATCGAGGACCTCATTAGAAAAAGAAGTCCCTCCCTTTTCTAATGTATAGGAAAACAACTATAGTGAATTTTGAAAAATAAAAATAAGTGGGACTAGAGGGACAAAAAGCTTTAAGAAAAATAATAAAATTTCAAGTGACAGCACTGGTTTAACTACATCTGTGAGTATGTGTATTCTGTAATGAGTTATATTTAACACCCCCCAAAAGACTATAACTAATTGCGTAACTGAGAATTCCAACCCTTCCTTTTTTTCTTTACAATGGTCTTTTCATTGTTTTGAGAATTTTGTTGGCATGGAGTACGATTGTTGTCCATGCAAAATCAAAAAGAAAAATTACAAACAAAAATGTACATTTTTTGAAAACTTGTGTGTGCATTCTCTCTCTTATTAAATACTGTTATTGTGAACCTGTGGTAGAATGCCCTACTTTTTAGGACACTTGGGATTTTTGCATACTATCTGGCAGAGTTTAACAGATCATAACATTTACACTTTAAATGAAAAATGAAAATCAATTAAAGGGACTCAGTAGGCACATAGACCACTTTATCTCATTGAAGTGGTCTGGGTGCAGTGTCCCTGTCCACTTAACTCTGCAATGTAAAACATTTCTGTTTCAGAGAAAAGGGTGGGTTTGCAGTTTCTTTGGGTCTCAGATCTTGTGAATTTCACATGAGGCTGTGCAACAGTTTTAAACACTACCGGATAGTATGCATGAATCATATGCTATGCAAAAATAAGGCAATCAAGCAATTATATGTCCTACATGATGATCAGGTAACTTTAATTCAAAGAATTAACAAAATACAGGAGGATCGGAGACTGCTTTTAACTGAATCAAGTTTGAAATAAGACACAAAACAAACAATAATCAAACCAGAACACCAGAGACAATGTTAAAAACCTTTACTTGCATTTTGTTTCAATAAATAATTTACATTATCTACATGAGGCATGTTAATATGCACATTTTTAGGAACACAAAACTGTTTTCCCTTTTTCCCTTGTGCAATATCTGTACATCTGTTGGGTCTATCTTAGCTTACATTTAACTAGATAACTTGTCAAACACAACCAAAATAAAGTGCTTCACTTTTCATTACTCGACAGGGATTTCCAGCAAAGATTTTTTTTCCTGTGATTTGGAATCAGGGTGGTGAACCACAACATCAAATGTTAGTATTACGTTGGGTGTGTAAAAGGAAATTCATATAGAATCATGGGCACTGTTGTGGGAACAGAATTAGATCTGTTATGTACAAAAAGGTTAAATGCCCAAAAATGCATAATTTGGAGTGGATATCAATTTCAAAGATAGTAGGATGTTTTACAGACAAGAGCTCAAGACAGGAATGACTAACTGGCACTGGAGATGTTTGCAAGCTACATTTCAAACACTGAGTATTGTGATGAATTTACTTTAACTACACTGGCAGTGCCAAGGTTACCCATATCTGGATTAAACCAATCTTATTGGCTACTTTTTTTTTAGGAACACTTAAATGCATACTGCAGGGCTGTAATGTGTAAAATGCAGATTACATTTAAAGAGTACCTTCATAAACATGGCAGGCGATCTGATCGCCATACAAGACATTCTTAGCTACTGAATCCAATAGAAATTAAATGTCTGAGCTGATAAGAGCAGCGGATTATTGAGGTGTGATTGTTGACCCCACACAAATGCACAAATAATACAAAAAGCAGTTCATTGAGTAGCTGTGAGTGAACATGTTTCTACAATACAGAAGCATGGCAATTGAGTGCAAATGACAGATGTAATGAGGGCAGATGTTTAATTTGTTTGTGATATATTACTTCATTTCAAATGGCTGGGTATCTGTTTTTATCTTAGAAGAAATATTTATGGGACCTCTAGCAGAGAAGGGAATGGGTACCACTATGGTTTAGGTATAATACTTTCCTATGAAGAGGGGATGAGTGTTGCCAGTGTCACTATTTACATAGGGTAAGGGCTAACACATAGCTACTCTTTTCTAGGTCTGCATTTACCTGGTCTGCAATCTAACCCTTTAAACTCAATGATGCCATAAAAAAGGCATCAACTAGAGGAAGATCAATTTAACTTCAACAACATTCATTTATAATGCTAACCCACTCTAAATAACAGAAGACATACTCCCTTTTAAGAAAACAGTATTTCGGGGGGAAAAGGAGGCAGAATTTATCATGTACCGGGAAATTATGATATTATGCTATTCTATTATTTCCCCTCAAAATGTACAGCACACCATGTCTCTGGCTGTCAGAACATTTGAAGTAACCGCATCGAAAAATATTACTTAACAAATGATGTAAGACTGGGTGAAACAAGGTTTTCCAGCTGTTATATGATTACAGTTCCCAGCATACTGTCCACCTTTGGCCATTAGCTTAGGTTGACCAGATAGCCCCATTGGGTAATGGCTATTAGGAGAGTACTTCAGAACTATCCTATAGGTTTTCTTTTCTCTAACACTATCTCGTTATCTTAGATCAGCTGTCTGAGGTGCTAGGAGTTGTAATCTCAAACTGCAATTAGAGGGCAAAATATTGTCCAGCCCTGACATAACACCTACAGTGTAGAAGTTAAAACAAATGTCAAGGGAAAAAAGTAGTAAACACATGCAGTTTTTGTAGTTGTGTCATACACGGGAACAAATTACATCTTTATATATATATCTATTTATATCTATATCTATATCTATATATATATATAGAGAGAGAGATATAGATATACATATACAAACAGTGACACCACAAGAGCTCCATATATTAGAGACAACATAAATTACATCCAAGACACATTGCATTTCTTTGCTTTACATGAGATTTCTACGGCTGTATTTACACTGTATAATAGCTCCACGCCACACCAGTAAATGTTGTGCACTATGGTCGCATGTGTTAACAGAACTCTGCCCACCACTGCTTCTCCTACATTGGCCATACTGTAATGAGGATCACAGCGCCTACTGCCTCTCCTTTGAGGGTGTCTTGCAGAGATCCAATCCCAATGGCTGTAAAATTACAGAAATGCCAATGGATGGACTTCACTCACACTGTCTTACAATGTGTGCAACCAACCAATATTGGGATTGCACATGACTAACAACCTTCTCCTACTCCTGCAGGGATAAACTGAAGTAATGTCATAGGAAGGAAACCCTCCAGTAACAAGAGCTTTATTTACGTTCTGTACGTTCTCTTGGCTATAAAGATAATAGAGTAGCAACAAACAGCAGAGAAGTGGAAGTTGGGACTTTGAAAACCACTCACACCTCCTCTGCATTCCCTTTGATATACTGGCCATTTCCGATACGGCGTATTACACTGTGCGAGCATCACTAACTGTGCATGCATTAACAGCTTATTAAGAAACACAAAGCCACGTTCACAAATGCACAGTACACAGCCTTTCGGATGTCTGCAGTACCACGTGTTTGCCATGAGACTGTTTTCCGGCCCCATGGGCCTATAAACTGTTGGTTCTGTTAATGAGGTATTGATGCATATAAGCTATTCTAGGTAATGGTGACAATTGTGAAGCACCTACATATTAGCAACAGTTGTTTTATGTCAAATATATGCATGATCCTAGTCAAAAACATCTATTTTCTTTACATTGTTTTGTTGCATCCACATTTTACTGGATTAACTCCAACTACTCTTAATCTGAATCAAACCATTCAATATAAGACTAACAATTTAGTTCCATATATTTTCTTCTAGTGTGGAATGGGGGCCAGATAAACAGCTACGGGTATAAAACTCTATAAACAAGGTCAGTATTCCAAGAACATGTTGCCATATATGTATGGTTAGAGACTCTCATATATAGAAATCCATCTATTAAATATAGAAAATAAATTATGAAACTAGATCATGTAGACGTTGTTACATTGAGTGCTTTGAAATTAAGGAATGCATCTTGGCAATTGGGACTGCACCTCTACAATAGTCATAATCTCATTTTATCCCGCAAGGATTTACACAGTAAACATATAAAAAATCACAGCAACACTGCACTGCACTGAACCAAACACATTAAAACCACTAGTATCTTCGTAAACACCATGTCTTGTTGAGAAGCTGTATTTCCAGGTCCCAAATCAGTGGTCCTTTCAAACAAGTGGATTTTGTCCTTGTTGGAATGTAATAATTTCACATCCTCAAAGGCATAATAAGCAGCTAAGGTGAAATTCACGTCTCCTGTGGTTAGAAGATCAAACACACAAGACTTGAAATAAAGGTCCTCTACTGGAAGTTTTTCTTTGCACTTGGCTCCTGCCATTTTAGGAGTGAATGAAGGAGCATTAGATCCAGCCCCATGCTTTCTAAGACCAGTTTCAGGGGTTTGAGAATGGAAGGTTCTAAAGTCAATCTGTTGATTTTGAGGGCAACCATGGAGACACAAGTAAAGACCCTGATTATCTTTGTCATCTACAGCATTCACAACTTCTTCTGGCATCCGCACAGCAAAGGTAAGGTACCGGCCCACCTGTCGAACTACAATGGTGGTTCCAATGTACTTGGCTTGTATCTCAATATGCTGACCAGCCACTTTCTCAATGATTTTCAAACTGTTTGCTCCACTCTTGTCCCCACCATTTCTTGAACCATCTATGAAAGCTGCAGGAAGCTCATCCATTTCAGCTTGGTAAACTTTCTGGTCTACACATTCCTGGAAGTTCTTGAAGATTATTGTGAGCTGAGTGGAAAAACAAAAACATGATTAGTAAAAATTCGTTACAATAATTTTTTACTGAAAAATCAAGACTTTTATGAAGATACAAATTACATCGAATTACTATATGTAAATTGATCATGGGGATCATGAGACCTCTTATTCAAAAGTGGAAACTCTCCTCCTTTGAATATAGGATTTATATAAACCCCTTGAGAACCCATGATTACTATAAAAATGCCACAGGACCTACTAGAAAACAAGGAATTATGGCGAGTAGGCCCAAAACAAGGCTCACTTATCTGCTGATATCTTAATCGAAATGTAATTTATGCACAAGAAGTATACTTTTTCCATAAAAAAAAAATATATATATATATATATAATGATTACTGATAATATGATTCTCGACTTAATAAAAGAAAATCCTAAATGTGTATTATGACAGACAAACATCATTGTACATGGACCATTTATTGTAGCTACTAGTTAATGTTTGGTTGCAGTAATGGAGACATCCGTTCCCATTATGCTATTTTTTTTCTTTAAGAACCGTGGAATTACTGGAACCTTAAAGTTCAGCTTGGTAAATATATAATAGTAAGTGGTTTTAAAACAAATAAGCTTCACTGCATACAACCGCATGCTTCTACACAACTGGGCAGATATGTATACCTCAAAAGGTATAACAAGTTCCACAACGTCCTGAATAATTAGTACATGATTCATAGTAAGTGGACATCTACTATTGGCTACCTCACTTCACTGAAATATTAACTATGAAGGCACAGCCGCAGTTTAGAAATTGCCCTTGAAGTTTAATCTGGCTAGAGTGGAGTTTCAATGAATGTCAATGGACGGCGTGAGTTGCAAACAAATGGTCAAACAAATAGCCGTGGACATTTTTAGAGGCAGCAGGAATAGGCGAACGTTTTGATATATGATTTGTGTAGGTAGGCAAATGAGGGAGTGGTGGCAGTTTAGAAATCATGTCCTGATTTTTTAGCTTTTGCCAGCTCCCACTCTAGTTTTGAACATTTTGCCATTCATTCCTATGGGACCAATTTCGCCACAAGAACGATGATATTCCGTTAACCATTCGGCGAAAAGTTCCACAAAGTAATAGCAATCCGATCGGGAACAATCCGCATGTTTCGGTATATTACTGTCTATGTAGTGTAAAAACTGTGGGAGGAGTTAGGGTGGTAAATTTGGCTATAATAAGAATAAGAATAATATATATGTGAGATAACATTAAGTGGTCTTGCTATGCAAGAACACTTAATAAAACTATGGATCTATCACAACTATTCACTCTGTAAGAGAAGATGAACTAGGAAGATAAACTTACACCTACTTGACTGAGACTCAAGACAGAAAAAAAAATATATATCTTGAATATATACAAACATGTCACTAAATAAAAAGTTTACAAAATTAAAATATTTTTCATAATATTAAATCACTTTAAAATTGTATCCAACAGTGTCAAATCAAGGCCAAAATTTTCATTTTTGGGAGCCCAGTTAAAATTAATCTGTGCAAGAGGAAGAGTAGTTTCCCTGAAAAAAAAATAAAGTTTAACTTTATTGCCAAGTTAGGTGAAGATCACCTTAACCCCTTAAGGACACATGACATGTGTGACATGTCATGATTCCCTTTTATTCCAGAAGTTTGGTCCTTAAAGGGTTAAACTGTAATCACCAAATGAAACGGCAACTGATTTTGTTAATTGACATGTGTGGATCTCATCAGCTTTGTCCATCCAAGACATCTGAGGTTGTATCTGTTGGGATCAAGATGTATCTGTCCATTCAGCAGACAGGGCAAGTCACTCTCCAATCTATCCCAGGGTAAATAAAACATCATCTACCTGCTGCAGCATGAAGCTATATCTGCCTCTCCCTTTTCTCACATGAAGAAATAATGCTTCCACTTGTAGGCAAAATCTAAAGATGGAAAATGATCATTTTATGAAACCACTTCCATGAACAAACCAATTATAAACTCTTTCCCCTGATTTGCTGTGAATCCAGACAGACAAATTGCCTGCACGTGCAGGGTTGCCTCTCAATCTACTAATTAGAGCTATTTAAAAACAATGAAATAAATTGTTCACAGTCTCAGCCTGAAGGAAATTAGGCTGGCTGTTAAACATTATGCACATTTTTAATTTTAAATCCTTATTAAAACTGTTCATACTGAATCCACGTGTAAAACAAAAGCAGGGACTACTGTATAATAGTAAATCTATGTTAATCCCATTCATCTAATATTCTACTTTTTGATGTGCCTAATACTCTGAAAAAATATCTCAACATAAATGTACTCAGACACCCTTATTTTGTGAAAATATTGCCCTCTGGTTATTCACATTTGCTAAAAATAAAACTCTAAATTTAAAATGTCCAGTGGGTTAAAAGAAATAAATTTGTTTTATTATTAATAACTTTGGTGAGAATGTCTGACCAATATTCTGGCCTATACAATATGTATCTGCAAACTAAGAAAATAAGAAATGTACTTGAAACAGGTATGCTTAGAGTATTTTGCCACTCAAGGTCAAACTTTCTGCTCATACAACCTTACCCCCAGGAATTTTTCTTTTTTGTGTGTCTTCACACTCTCTCACTTTCTACTCTGTAACTCTGAACCACCCTCAGCCACCACCTTTTGTTCGTCTCCAGTCCACAGATTGGATTATGCATCTTGAGTATTGGCGTGGTTGTGCGTGTTCAGTGATAAACATGTGGCCATGCATTCCCCTCTGCTCAGTATATGAATAAAACCCATAGCTTGCAGCACGCAATGAGAATGGATAAAATTGTGACATACAATATTAAATCTCTGCCCCCTCCACTCATACTGTATTGTGTGTTTTATAAGCTCCAATAATCGACCGGACAAAGAACTTGCCTAACCTATGCTGTGGTCCGATAATCTGGTAAAACTGCAAGGCTGTCATCGCCCTGCCCCCCATCCCCTCCAAGTATGCTAGAGACTTGGAACATTCCTGCCCAATAGTATTTTACAGTTGCATAAAGAATTCTTCCTGCACGCAAGAGTAGCAGAAGAAAAAGAGAAATGGGTTGAGTTGGTACTAACGGGGTAGTTATCACCTATAAAGAAAATTGACTTGGTCTAGAGAGACAAGTGTCAGTACCAACTTTGACAGAGTTCCCAGGTATAATAAGATGCTTTCACTGCAGTAGTGGAAAGCATTTAATGTAAGATGAGGTGAAACTAAGTGCTCCAATCTATTTTGGTGCTCAATAAGGTTATCATGTTATCAAAAATCTAGAATATTGCCGTGGAGGATTAATGGATTGATTTGAGTGTTGTTGAACATTTTGTGTGATGCCTAATATAAAATATAATAGAACTGTATTCCCTCAATTTTGAGGAAGACATTTCATCTACAGATCACTGAGAAATTATCTCCAGATATACTATCAAATGTTGTTGTTACAAAATTGGTAGAATAACTTGGAATTGATCATAGTAACCACATCTGTAGACTTTGCTTACCTTGGTTGTAGCAGTTGCAGATGAACCTGGGTGTACTGGGGTGTTAGTAACTTGCACATTTAAGTAATTATTGTCTACAATAGGCCATGCGCCTTGTATTTTGCAAGTCTGGAATGTGTCCGTAAAAGTCCTAAGATGGGGGTCTCCAAACAAGCCGCAGTGGGTGTAGTTTGGAGGTGCTGCATGCCGGTGAAAATTCTTCTCATAATGGCAAAGCTCTGGACTATCTGACCTCTCCTGGCTGTCCCATGGAGGTGGGGTGCGAAGACGTGGCTGTGAAGTTGGGCCATCTTTTGAGCAGTTGTGTTGGCTCATGAGGTCATCAATGCCATGGACGGCTGAATGATAAGCCAGATCTCCCCTGCAAGTGCGAGCAGTACGGCGGGTGCAATGAGCGTAGGTACGCAGTGCAGTGCAGAACTCCACAGGGTCTTCAGGTCTGTTCTGATGTTGGTTGTTGGAAGTAGCAGACCAGAATTCAGAGTTACACTTCAGAATCCTGCACGATGAGCTCACTGTAGAAAAAGGAACACATAACAGATGGTCAATACCAAGTCAAATAATAAAAAACTATAATAACCAGTTAGGGTACATTTAGATTGTTCTGGTTTTCATGCAAGTCAATAGATCTTAGTTACAAATATGTGACGTATTAAACTTTACCTACAATTGCTTTGCCACTCTGCTAACAAACACTATATTCTCTCTATAGATATATCCTAAAAGCAACAGAGTAAACCTGAAATTAGGTGTAAAATTCTCAAGCAGGGCTGGTAGTTTTCTCCTAGATACTATCACAAAAATATCTTTAAAACAAATCTCTTATTATAAAACAAAGCACATGGGACACTTTGTAGCTTTAATGGTATATTTTAATTAATTAAATTGCACAAATATGAACTCAGTGATATTATATGATATTACCATATCTCACGCGATAAGCAGATATAATGGGAGTTTACATGTCCTAATACATGAAATGTTATGCTTTTTTGGCTCCAAAGTACAAATGAACTGCACAAGCCTGCTTCTATCAGCTTGCATCACATACAAGGCAGTAAAAGCACCATGCAGCCTGGAATTGCTTTTGCTAATCCTGACACCAGCCCCTGAACCCACGCAGCAACCACAGTTTAATTGATGTTTATAGATACAGATGTTTATGAGATACATACTTGTGAAAAAGAGGGGGTGGGCAATACACTTCTGAATGTATTATGCTCTAGGGCAGGCATAGGCAACCTTCGGCACTCCAGAAGTTTTGGACTACACTTTCCATGATGCTTTGCCAGCATTATGGGTGTAAGAGCATTATGGGGGATGTAGTCCACAACATCTGGAGTGCCGAAGGTTGCCTATCCCTGCTCTAGGGACTCAGATACCCTCTGAGGAAAATACTTGAGGTTTTTCAGATTTATCATATGAAACAAATTTTTTTTAAGGACAGAAACAAAAGGCAAGTAACTCCAAAGCAAATACATTAACGCCTGTTTAATCTTGTAAAGTTTGTTTCCCACTATAAATTCCGTGCAATGTGGTTTGAAAAAGGGACAATCATGCAGATGAACTACTCCTCTTAAAATGACATCTGTCATCAGATTTTCACTTTTCGGTTTTTAAACGATTGTTATATTTGAAATGCAATGATTTGAAAACAAATTATAATTACGTTGCTTTTTTTTATTATTTTTTTTTTTTAGAAAGTTTCCCTTTTCTTATCTAGCTGAGCAGCCATATTATTAAGTCAGATTTGACTATTATCTGACCAACTGCTGCTCAACCTAACTTTGTTCACAGTCATAGAGCAATCACATCAGCAGACAAGTTAGGTACATCAGCAGCTGGTTAGAGAAAAGTAGAATGTGATCCAACATGGCTACTCAGAAAAGCCAGAAAAGAAAAGTGATATTTTCTAAAATAAATAAATAAACATCATAAAAAAAAACCATTACCTTTCACTAAATGCAATAAACTTTTAGAAAATGAGAAGTGGAAATTTGATGACAGTCTTCTTTTAATCACAGAATTCTCGAGTGACGTGCTTTTTATATTAAGCAACTATGTTTGAGAAGATAAAATTGGTTCCTTAAAAAATTCTCCCAATTTGTAAGAACTGCTAATTGTATACGGTACTTCTCCTGTTAGAAATACTGAAGTTTCTGTAGTTTGTACTGTAGACAATATCCCAGGGCTGAATTTTGTAAATAAAAATATGTTTATCTATAGTAATTAAAAAGCAATTTTCCCACTGAAGTCTATGAGAAAATGACATTTAAGCTGCCAGAGAGTAACTTATCTCTGCTCACAAAGTTCAGTCCCTTAAATTTACACATTTTGCACTCTGAACGGCTGCAGGCCCTGTCAGCATTCCACCAATTACTTGTGAGAAGCACATAATTCATTTCAAATGATGAGCTTCCAACACACCTATCACTTGCTTGTGTGAGTCTATTCACAGCTTTCAAACCCATCTTGTTTAAGCTTGCTCCTCAACCCCAGGAAAGACATGGAGATGTGCTGTGTTCCGTGGTAATTTAAGTTTTCATCCACCCCTAGTGTAAACAGTAGGATTGTGTTTGGTGTAAAATCTTAAAATAAAAATGACACGATATTTTAACAGATGTTCTCGAATGAACACTGAGGGTATTATTACTGACATTTATATAGCGCCAACCTATTCTGCAGTGCAAAGGAGGATGGGGGGGGGGAGCTTCTACCGCAGATTTTGACACGGACAATAGAAGCCTGCTCAAACGAGTATAAAATCTATAGTGTATAGGCAATAAATTTGGTTTTATGTAAATATGTTGCCCACATAATGACAAATTAGAAGTGGTAAGCATTAATGTTAAAAACGGCTGCCAACTGTTAAAAAATGTATTTTGTTTCATTCATAGAAGTGTGTGGATGAGACCTGACTCTCCCCACTGCATTCTCTCCGAGTGGAAGAGTCGCTGATTCCTCCCCTTGCATTCTCCTCATGAAAGTCCACAGATATTGGCTTTTTTTTCCTACTTGTGTAAGAGAGTTCCCATGTCTGTTCAAGTGAGATATAAAATAGCAAGTATATAGGAGATAGTGGCTCTCCTACACATCTCTATAAAGGAGACTGAAGTAAGATTTTATCCAATGTTTTTTTAAACACACCTGAAAGTAACTGGATCAGAGTCCAGGGGAAGCGGTAAATAAATAACATGTCACAAGACACTGTACTTTTTTGCATAAAAAAAAAAAAATCCTAACCAATGAAAATCAGTTTCACACTGCAACACTTCCTTGAGATTCTTTTTGCAGTGACTTAAATTTTATAATGCAAACATTTCATGCATCCAACATGGTGGTGAAAACTATTGCTGTGCAAAAGTCTTGATGGTCATAAAAAATAAATTTAAAAAATGCATGAAAGAGACTTATTTGCTTGACATGTACAGCACTGTGCAGACAGAAACAGGTTGGTGTTATTCCTTAAAAAAATGAAAGAATTGGATATGGGCACAGGGTGTTATTGGTTGCTGGAAGGAGACGGAAGTGATTTAGGACACAGAAAGTAGCTTAACACAGAGTATTACCAGCTCCTGCTAAGGCTGTGATGTGAAATCTAACCCCAGGGCGACGCAGGACATCTGTGTTCCCAGGTGAGGCACATAGAAGGAAAAAAAAAAGGGAGAGGAGACCTATTTCCTCCCACCTCCCTTCCCAAACATCCACACAATTTCAGAATACATACTGGCCGCAGGCTTTAAAAGTACACGTCTGAATACAGCAGTGACATGTGCCGTAGTGTCTGACATCTGGCATTCATGACTATATTCTTGCCAAAAAAAAAAATATAAAACAAAACTCCAAAGTGTTCCATAGTATTCTGAAAGGTTGCTTAACCCTTCATTAAACAAGCCTCTATTTTTCATAAACAATGAAAGTATATGTGGGTTATATAGTTTCAGTGTATAATAAGATAAGGTGCACATTAATCATAATGAGCAAGACTTGAAAACTGGTGTAAGAAACCTTCATCTCCAGTCAGGGGGTTCAGTGATGTCACGCACCCTCTCTGCACATTTTATATCGCAGCTGTGCTTAAAGGGGCACCAAAGCGTCAGCAGAGATCCTGGCTTGAGGAATGGCCACTAGAGGTGATCCTAGGCTGTAATGTAAGCACCTCATTTTCTCTGAAAAGACAGTGTTTACAGCAAAAAGCCTGAAGGTAATGATTCTATTCACCAGAACAAATTCAATAAGCTGTAGTTGCTCTGGTGACTATAGTGTCCCTTTAATAACCATCCCTGTACATATAACACTCTCCATGCCAACTGTCCAACTGTTATGGCTGGCTCAGTAAGTGTGTATAACAGCAACTAGAAGACATTAAAGCAGCTGGAGATCTGGCTGCATAAATCCCTTAGTTTTAGTTTTCCCTATGCTTGGCAGTACATAGCTGTACAAAATGGCTTTATTTCTCTAAAGAATTCAAATAAAAGGTTACAATTATGAATTTTATTAAGAGATTTAGAGCCATTTTCTGTCCAGAGTACAGAAATCACAATAGTTTGATTCTAGAGGTGGAAATTAAAAAATATTATGTTCCCTTTTTTTTTTTTTTACTTCTCACAGTAAACTTGACAGGTGTATTGTGGATATATGGAACAGCAGTAACTCAGTGTGATATAGTGTGCAATACACTTTGTCATTCTCTAGCATTGCATTGCTGCAGCTCTGGTCACAGCTGCGTACATAGTGATGCTGGATACTATTGTACTGTCTGCACAATTATTTTTCTGCAATACAAATGGTGGCTCACAAGAGTTACTTTGGAAAGCAAGCTCGAGAATGTTGTATTTGAATTACAATGAGTCCAGAATCAGGATGTGGATGCTCAATGTTTATACATTAGTATATAAGAGTTGCCACTACACCATATGTTTCCAGTGATGCTTGTTAATTATTCACTAAATTAGACAGAATGTTGTGTTTGCAGGCATTTTGTGAAATTAATTTGTGCCTGGGTTACAAAAAGTCAATGAAGTAATCATGAAGTTTTCATTTTGTTACGGGCAGTAATTATTAAATCGATTTCAGATTTTGATCATATAAACTGCACATAGCGCACAGAGGACAAGTACATACATTGTAAATATAAAAGTGTAGGTACACTGAAAATAGAGATGGGTGTGTTTGTTAATGAAGACCGGTAAAATGGAGAAATACCGTATATACTCAAGTATAAGCCGAGTTTTCTGGCACATTTTTTTGTGCTGAAAAAGCCCCCCTCGGCTTATACTCGAGTCAATGTCTGTATTATGGCAACTTACATTGCCATAATACAGACCAGGACCGTCGGGCTCATTACAAGCCCGGCGGTCCTGTTGGGAGCCGGAGCAAGCTCTTACTTACACGTGCAGCTGCTCCGTTCAGCTCCCTTCTCCTCCGTTCCGGTCAGCTCACTGTGTAAATCTCGCGAGACCCACGGCCGTCAGTGCGTTGCTACGGGTTACACACACTACAGGCACTACACAATTACACACACACAGGGTTATACACACACTACGCGCAGACCGCGAGATTTACAGGGAGCTGAACAGAGCTGCTGCACATGTAAGTAAGAGCTTACTCTCAGCCCCCCTCCTGCACAGCCCATGCCACTGGACCACCAGGGAATCATATAGCCCCCCTCCCTGGCCAGGTATCAAGCAGGGAGGGGGGGACAAAAAAATATATAAAAAAAATTTAAAATATATTAACCCCTTAAGGACCAAACTTCTGGAATAAAATGGAATCATGACATGTCACACATGTCACACATGTCATGTGTCCTTAAGGGGTTAAAATAATACAAATAATAACAAAAAAATTAACAATATTAAAATAAAAATGCCCTCCCCCCACCCAGTTCACACACACTGCACAGACACACACACACACACACTCTCTGCATCATATACACACACACTTAATTATATACACACTGCATTATATACACACACTGCATTCATTATATACACACACTGCATTCATACAAACACACACTGCATTATATACACACACTGCATTCATTATATACACATACTACACACACACACACACACACACACACACTCTGCATTCATTATATACACACACTGTAAATAAATATTAAATTAATGTAATTTTATTGGGATCTAATTTTATTTAGAAATTTACCAGTAGCTGCTGCATTTCCCACCCTAGGCTTATACCAGAGTCAATAAGTTTTCCCAGTTTTTTGGGGTAAAATTAGGGGCCTCGGCTTATATTCGGGTCGACTTATACTCGAGTATATACGTTAACTTTTTTTCCTCAACATATATTAAAAAGGAACCTATGGCAAGAGATATTCATATGATTGCTGCAAAGCACTTACAGAACAAAATGTGATTGGATGACTTATGACAAGGTGCTGCAGCAACTAAAAAAAATAATGTAAACAAAGCTCTGGGGCCTGATCGTATTCACCCACAAATACTTAAGGAGCTAAATGTGGAAATTAGTGAACCACTGTTTTTAATCTTTCAGAATTATTTTCTTTCAAAAATTGTACTGTGGTTCCTATATTCAAAAACAGTTCAAAATACCTGCTTGGAAATTATAGACCTGTGAGTTTAACTTCTGTGAAAAGTATTTAAAGTGTTATTAAGGGATAATATTCAGGAATCCATTGAGAAGAATATTTTTTATTAGCAAAAATCATCATGGTTTTTATGAAACATAGGTCAAGTCAAACTAACTTAATTGCATTGTACACAGAATAAGAACAATGTTCCAGTGGATGTGACCTGCTTGGATTTTGCCAAGGCATTTAATACAGTTACACACGATAGGTTACTGTTCAAACTAAAATAAATTAGTCTAGATGAAAATTCCTGTTCTTGGGTATAACACTGGCTTAAGGACAGAGTACAGAGAGTTGTTATCAATGATAGATTTTCAAAAAAAGTGGCAAGTGGTGTCCCTCATTTATTTTATTCTGGGACTGCGTCTAACAGAATATGTGAGCAGGATGTAAATTCACTCCAAAGGGATTTAGATAGATTGGGGGACTGGGCACTAAGATGGCAGATGAAATGCAATGTAGATAAATGAATAGTTATGCACTTTGGGGTAAAGAATGCACAAGCAACTTACATCCTAAATAATGTGCTTTAGGGATTAGAACACAGAAGAAGGATTCAGGAATTTTATAGACAATGTGCAATGTTTATCAGCAGTTGCCAAGACAAGTAAGGTATTGTCATGTATAAAAATGGATGAAAATATATTTTTGCCTCTTTATAAATCACTGGTAAGACCACACTTTGACTATTCGATGGAATTTTGGGCACATGTTCTAAAGAAGGATATTATGACACTAGAAAAAGTGCAGAGGCGGCTAAAAAATAAAAGGAATAGAACTTTTTAGTTATGAGGAAAGGTTAACAAGCGTAAATTTGTTTAGTTTAGAAAAATGGCGCCTCTGAGGGTATATGATAATATTATACAAATATAATTGTGGCCAATAAAAACCACTGTTTGGAAATCTATTCATAAACAAGACTATACATTGGACAAAAGGTCATGCATGTAGACTGGAAGAAAGGAGATTTAGTCTAAGGCAAAGGAAAGGTTTTTGTTTTACAGTAACAATGATAACAATGTGAAATTATCTGCCTGAAGAGGTGGTTTTATCACAGTTTGTACAGATGTTTAAACAGCAACTGGATGAATACTTGAAACAAAATAATATTCAGGGATATATATACATTTTAATTAGCTTCTTGATCCAAGGAGCGATCTGACTGCCATTCTGGGGTCAAGAAGGAATTTTGTCCATGTTTGTTGCAAAATTTATCCGTGCTTGAAGCTGGTTTTTTTTGCCTTCTTTTGGATTAACAGCGAAAAAAGATGTGAGAAAGGCTGAACTTGAGGGATACATGTCTCCTTTCAGCCCATGTAACTATGTAATATTGCTTATATCATATGCTCCACACATTGCATTCAGATGTGTGCTTCCAAGTCCTGCCTGGGAGAATGAGAAACTCATAATGAAAACCAAAATGGCGATGCTGCAACAAAGTCATAATTCTTCTTAAAGAACATACTTAAAATTACTTAAAGGCAGGAATATAATCCTTCCTTAATTCATAGACACAGTAGAACAGATTTTTTTTCTAGTGATTTAGCACCCGCAGAACATTCAATAATTAATTTTAAAAAAATGTGGCTGTGTTTATACGGATAAACTGTGGATTATATTTTGGACCCCCTAACACTGGAGTCGCAACCAAGTACTTTCCAACTTTCTAGATCCCTGGCTGTCCTTGTACATTCACCAGTGTTTTTAATAAAAGAGCAGTGTGACTTGTGTGGATAGAAGTCAAAGAAATAAAGTCAAGTACAACCCCGTTAAAATAAATTCATACACATTGCAGAACTCCCAGTGTTACCTATCTGCCCTATATAAAAGATGCAGAGTTCGGTATTAAGCGTTTACTCAATAGCGTAGTTGTTTGAAACCTGGAAGGATCACAAAATCTCCTTGTGTGACTCATGCCTGGCAGTACACGTTGGTATTGTTGGCACTCTCCACCTCAGAACTTTGTTTACTTGGGTTTGACACAGAGGGAAAAAAATGAAGTGCCAACATATCTTGAATTTTGGCTGCCACATCTTTCAACAGGGAGACCAGAAGATTGAAAAATTAGCTGACTGAAATGAACCCAAAAAGCCAAAAACTCAACATAGTTAACAAGATTTTGTTTAGGCTCTAGCAGGCTATATCATCAGTGAATATTTCTAATCAATGTCTCAAGACCTTTTTAAAGGACCACTTCATCTCAAATACATTATTCTTGGTGCAGTGGTCCTGTGTCTGTATCCCTGCAATGTAAAACATTGCCATTTTTAACCCCTTAAGGACACAGCTTCAGAAGCTTGACTTACGCTTAATGACACAAGCAATTTTTGCATTTTCTTGCTGTTTGCGTTCAACTGCAATTTGCATCTCTCTCATTTATTGCACCGACACATATTATATACTGTTTTTTAAAGGACAGAAAGGGCTTTAATTTGATATAACATATATATATATAAATGCTTACTTATTATAAAAAAAATACAGAAAAATGCAAAAAAAATGAAAAATATTGTTTTTTTTTACAGTTTTTGCAATAATAATGTGTGCATAATTAGTGCAGGTTAAGGAAAGTAATTAAAAATAAATTTATTTAGTTGTTCTGATTTACAGAATATATAATGTGTCTGGGATTTTAAGTTTTTTTTGGTAGTTACAGGTCACAAAGCACAAGGAGTAAAATAAACTTTTAATGTGGAGCGATTTTAGAATTTGGTATGTTTGTCTTGTAAGCTTAATAGCCATAAAAGAAAACAAAATTGCCACACAAAAGTATATATTTATATAAAGTAGACATCACGGGCTATTTACCTAAGGTTGTTTTGACACTTTCTACGTAGCCATTTCACCGCCAACCTCTGCTAAATATTGGAGTAAAATTGTGTTCTTTTTGGTTTTTGGCACACAAACTTATAACAGAGAAATTCTCGTGTATATTTTGTAAAGTTGGTGTGTGCTATTCCTGTACAAAGTTTTATTTTGTGTTCAGTTACATCTGCTGAGTAAAATGACACCCCCATTGTATGTCTTTTGCACTATTTCGTGAAGTTACAGTGCCATACAGGATACCTGTCCTTTTCAGTATTCACAGTAGAATGTTGAGAGATGAATTTAATGAGCCTTAGCTTCCATTTGGGGTATTATAACAGTTTGACTGTTCAAAAAACCCCCACAAAGGCCTACCATTTGTAAAAGTAGACACTCCAGGGTATCTTATAAGGTGCATATTGTGCCTTAACATGCCCCCATTTTTTCACCAATATATGCCAAAGTATGTGGTAAAAAAAATTTTGTGCATTTTTTACATACGGATTGCATTTTTGCTGGGCGTTTTGTATATTTCATATGTGCCACTAAGTTCAAACCCCCCAAATTATGCTCAGCTAAGTCTTCTGAGTAAAATGACACCCCATATGAATGTCTTTGGCACTATTTCGTGAAGCTACAGTGCCATATAGGAGACCTGTCCTTTACAGTATTCACAGTAGAATTTTGAGAGATGGATTTAATGAGCCTTAGCTTCCATTTGGGGTATTATAACAGTTTGACTGTTCAAAAAACCCCCACAAAGGCCTACCATTTGTAAAAGTAGACACTCCAGGGTATCTCATAAGGTGCATATTGTGCCTTAACATACCCCCATTTTTTCACCAATATATGCCAAAGTATGTGGTAAAAAAATTATTTTGTGCATTTTTTACATACGGATTGCATTTTTGCTGGGCGTTTTGTATATTTCATATGTGCCACTAAGTTCAAACCTCCCAAATTATGCTCAGCTAAGTCTTTGAGTAAAAATACACCCCCAATGAATGTCTTTGTCACTATTTTGTGAAGCTACAGTGCCATATAGGAGACCAAGCCATATCCGTTTTTACCAAACTTTGAATTTTGACGCTGGGCCTATGTGCAATTTCCAAGCATCTTCGCAGGTTTTAAATTCAATCTACCCCACAAAGGCCTACCATTTCTTAAAGTAGACACCCCAGGGTGTTTCAAAAGGTATAGTTTGAACCTTAGCGTGGGATCATTTTTCCGCTAGCTTGTACCAGATGTAGTGGTAATAAGCGTTTTTTCTGCCTTTTTGACATACAAAGTGAGTTTGCGCAGCATATTTTACAAACCTTATGTGTGCTACGACTGTATAATACTTCATATGTTGCTCAGCTATGTCGGCTGAGTACAGCAATACCCCCGTATGTACCTTTGCCAGGTATGTGTGGACATCGGAGGGGCACATTTGGGACACAGCCATTCCAGTTTTTTTCAAACTTTGAATTTTTATGCTGTGCCTATGTCCCATTTTAGAGTATTTTACCAGGCTATATAATCCAAATTCCCCATAAAGCCATACCATTTCTTAAAGAAGACATCCCAGGGTATTTCAAAAAGGCATATTTTGAACCTCAGCGTGGGATCATTTTTCCGCTAGCTTGTACCAAGTGTAGTGGTAATAAGCATTTTTCTGCCTTTTTGACATACAAAGTGAGTTTGCACAGTATATTTTGCAAACCTTATGTGTGCTACGACTGTATAATACTTCATATGTTGCTCAGCTATGTCGGCTGAGTACAGCAATACCCCCGTATGTACCTTTGCCAGGTATGTGTGGACATCGGAGGGGCACATTTGGGACACAGCCATTCCAGTTTTTTTCAAACTTTGAATTTTTATGCTGTGCCTATGTCCCATTTTAGAGTATTTTACCAGGCTATATAATCCAAATTCCCCATAAAGCCATACCATTTCTTAAAGAAGACATCCCAGGGTATTTCAAAAGGCATATTTTGAACCTTAGTGTGGGATCATTTTTCCGCTAGCTTGTACCAAGTGTAGTGGTAATAAGCATTTTTTCTGCCTTTTTGACATACAAAGTGAGTTTGCGCAGCATATTTTGCAAACCTTATGTGTACTATGACTGTATAATACTTCATATGTTGCTCAGCTATGTCGGCTGAGTACAGCAATACCCCCGTATGTACCTTTGCCAGGTATATGTGGATGTTGAAGGGGCGCATTTGAGACGCAGCCATTCAGTTTTTTTCTAACTTTGAAGTTTTACGCTGTGTCCATGTTCCAATTTGGAATAGTTTAGACGGTTGGTTATTGAAACTTCCCCACAAACACATACTATTTATTAAAGAATACACCCTGGGGTAATTCAAAAGGCATATTTTGAACCTTGGCGTGGGATAATTTTTTCTCTAGTTTGTTCCAGGTGTAGTGGTAATGAGCGTTTTTAAAATGTATTTTTTTACTTTTTATAACTTTTTTACTTTTAAAAACTAGTTTTTAAACTTTTGTTTTGCTTATAAATTTTTTTTAAACTTTCCTAAACTTTCTTAAAACTTTTTTACAGATTTAACATTTTTCTAAGCTATTTTTTTTACTGTTAACCCCTAACTAGCAGTACGCAGCACTAACAGTAAATTCCCCATTTTCCCATAACTCCCACCCACCCCAGCTAGCAAAATATATAGTTATAAAATATTTAAATTAATTAATTAAATAAATTGAACCCCTGAGGGTTAAAAAAATAAATAAAAGTTAATCCTCAGGGGTTAAAAAAAATTAGATCACAGTATAATACTGTGATCTCTATTTGATCGCTGTAGGCAGTGATCGACTGGCAGGGAAGGGGTTAATTTTTATTTGGACTAGGTAAAGTGTGTTTTTTTGTTTTTATTACTTAAATGTTATTAAAACATTTTTTAAGCTTAATTTTTAACTTTTTAAAGTTTCTTTTAAAACTTTTTTTTAACGTTAACCCCTAGTTAGCCTAACGTCAAATCCCCCAATTCCCCACTAGCTTCCACCTACCCCAGCTATCTAAATATATAATTTAAAAATAATTTAATTAATTAATTTAATTAATTTAACCCCTGAGGGTTAAAAAAAAAAGAATTAACCCTCAGGGGTTAAAAAAAAAAAATCAGATCATAGTAAAATGTAATCCCTGCCAATTGATCACTGTAGTCAGTGATCAATTGGCAGGGAAGGGGTTAATTTTTTATTAAAATGGGTAAGGGGGGGGACACTTTAAATTAACTTTATTTTTTTTTCCAGCAGGGGGCAGGATCAGCACTGATCCGGCTCCCTGCACTTCACACAGAACCCGGAAGTGCAGGGAGCCGGTAGGTAAGTATGCAGAGCACATGTGCTCGCTCTGACTTGCGGTCAGAGCGAGCACATGTGCTGGGCAGCTTGACCGGGTGCTCCCGGTATGCCTCCAATGCAGAGGCATACCGGGAGCACCATTAACCCCGCGATCGCCGCGATAGCGGCGATCCGGGGTTAATTTTACCGCGTGACGGACGAGGTCCGTCACCCGTCGTTAAGGGTCTCCCCTGTGTGACGGACCTCGTCCGTCACCCGTCCTGAAGGGGTTAAGAAACTGCAATGTTTACATTGCAGGGTAAAATCCTCCTCTAGAGGTTGTTATACTGATAGCTACCAGAGGCGCTTCCACGGCACTGGCCAAGTACAACTGGGTCACATGATGCGAAACCCCCCCATAGGACTGCATTAATTCAATGGTTTCCTATGGGGAAGCTTGGAAACACATGCACATTGGGACCGCACTACGAGGAGCATTGGATTGGACCGTTTTGATGGAAGCCACGCCTCCTCTGAAATGTTGTGGGAAGCAGAGAGCTGAGCAGCACTGAGAGAGTCTAGGCACTGGAAAAACATAACAAAATTGTTTTTATGTGAAACGAAGGGGGGGGGGGAGTTATTAAATACGGACAAGGACACTAAACTGAATACTTTGGAAAATGTTACATTCAGGTGATACGTGAAAAATTAGAATATCGTGCAACAGTTCATCTATTTCAGTAATGCAACGTAAAAGGGGAAACTAATATATGAGATAGATGCATTACATGCAAAGCAAGATAGTTCAGGATGTGCTTATTAATCCTTCCTCTTTCCCTGTTGGCACAACTACCTGGGCACAGCTTCCTTATGGATAGATAATCACATATCATTAAAACACGGTTCTATAACAATAAAACATTCAGTGATGCATGTTTAAACTGCAGGCAATGGATTTTAGAATGACTTAGTCCTTTAGATAGCAATTACGGTAATATACATTAAACTGTGTTTTATATTGTGTAATTGATATGCAACACTGACCCATTGTACAGCGCTATGGAATTTGCTGGCACTATATCAATAATAAAATAATAATAATAAAGTTTTATTTTTATCAAGAAGACCCACATCAAAAAAAAATTGGGACACACATAATACCTGTCATTTTCCTATGCCTGACAAGCTATTCAGGTAAATTACATCTCATTTAAAAAAACAAAACACAGAATGAAAGGGATCTGCGGTGTGCCATGATCCTAGGGCAACGGTGGCTATTCTGTGGCACTCCAGTTGTTGTAGGCCTATTTCCCTCAATGCTCAGCTTGTTAGCAGCCAATAGACTAGCTTCATGGCAAGAAAAACACTGTCCCCAATAGCAATGGTTAATTGAGTATGATAGCAGGTGAGTTAGAGAAACCGACAGTCAAATTAACCAAAGATGCTCGTGGCAAATGTCTACTGCATGGATGTATTATTCATAAATGTTAAAGAGTGCGTCTGATCATTCTATGGTAGGTTGAACCATACCAGCTGAAAACACGTCTTCTTCAAAATATGCACATTAAACAAGTGGAGCAGTTGCTTTATTGATTCCATTAATTCCATTAAAGTATGTGATTAAACTATACAATATATTAAAATCACACATAAAGTTGTGAAAGTCAAACACAGCGCAAACACTGCTGAAGCTGCTCCTCTGTTTGCTGTTGTTCATAGAACATCTAACCTGAAGTCTTCCAGTTCTAATCTCCTAAAAGGCCCGCAGTACCTTTCATCTGCTGAGCCTGATAAAGAAAGCTCCCATTGTAACCGTATTAGTCACAATTACTACATTGTAAAAGACTGCAGCAAAATATATTTTCCAAAGCACATGCCTTTGCAACCGGTTATATTTTTTCCTCCTTAGTCTTACTTTTAACTCATTATGCTGATACTACAATTTTTTACGTTTTATATATATTTAAAAGACACATTTCACATTTGTTTGCATTACTGCAAGTTACAGACTAAAACATGTGATAGATGTTGCTAGGGGAGGGCTGCCCCAGACTGCCCCAAGTGTAGTCCTAAAAAGCCCTGGTCTATTTTAGGCACCCTTTTATTGTGAAGTGAGGGCCAGTATTACTTAGAAAGAATTAATCCCTATTTATACAGAAAATATACTCACATTTGAAAGGCCTTTAGTCACTAAATATGTGTAGTTTAAGCAATGACCAGGAAGTGCCTGAAAATTAAAGTCTAATTTGTTCCTCCTGCTGTTTCCATTTGGTGTGCATTCCATAGAGCAGGCTTTCCCCCAAACGCTGGCCCTACAGATGTTGCTGAACTACAACTCCCATGATCAGTGTACACACAGTCCAGGAGCCCCGGTGCGAAACGGATCCGTGCCTCCCCCCCGATCCATGCCCTCCCAGACACATAGATACATACAGACACATACACCCCGCTCGACAGACACATACATACAGACACACACACACATACACCCCCTTGACAGACACATACATACAGACACACACACATACACCCCCTTGACAGACACATACATACAGACACACACACATACACCCCTCGACAGACACACAGACACATACGTACACACACACATGCAAACAGACACACTCATACACACAGACACACAGCCCCCGACAGATATACACACAGACACTTATAGAGACACACACACACACATACATATAGACACACACACACATACAGTCTGTATGTATGTGCCTGTATGTGTGTGTGTGTATGTATGCGTCTCTGTATGTATATGTCTGTATGTGTATGTGTCTGTATGTATGTGTGTCTCTGCGTCTGTATGTATTTGTGACTCTGTATGTGTTTATGTCTCTGTATGTATGTGTCCGTATGATACAGACACATACATACAGAGACACACAGACATACAGACACATAGAGACACACACACATACAGACACACACACACACACACACAGACACATACATACAGAGACACACACATACAGACACACACATACACACAGACACATACATACAGAGACACACACATAAAGACACACAGACACACACACACACACACAGACAGACAGACAGACACACACATACACAAAATGTTTAAGTCACCCTTCTGTTTTCTACCTTTTACAGGAGAGTGACTTTCCCTGGGGTCCAGTGGGGGCTCAGCCTGAAGGGAGTCAGAGTTCCCACTATGACTCCCTCCACCTTCCTCCCACGCGGCTCTCTGATAGCTGGGAGGAGTGACCAGAGCAGTCACTTCCTCCCAGCTCTGTCTGATGTCATCACAGGGGGCCCAGTCGCGCTGTTAAAGCGCAGCAGCGCTGACCGGGCCCCCTGAAAATCCATTTCCATAGGGTGGCACTAACAGCATGGGCAACCCGATGTACCACTTCAAAACATGGCGGCAGGGGTCCACAGGGCGGCCGGGTCCCCTCGAGTGACCCCTGCGACCGCGATATGTATGACAGTGCCCATGATTCTCAGCCTATTTCATTCATAGAATCATGGGAGTTGTACTTCAGCAACACCTGGAGGGCTGGAGTTAGGGGAAGCCTGTCATAGAGGATGGGTAGGCAAACTTTGGTACTCTAGATTTTGTAGACATCTCCCCTGATGCTTTGCCAGCATTATGGGAGATATAGTCCACAACATCTGGAGTGCTGAAGGTTAGCTACGCCTGCCCTCTGGGTTTTTGGCATCTGTAGTTTGGCCATACTAAGTAATTTAATTCATTAAAAGACACGAATGAAAATTCCATGCTTGTCACTAAATGCTATGAATCAGCTTGCATGAATTATCTCGGATCTTCTATGGGTTCCCCAATTCAGTGTATGAGAAGGGGGAGAGATTTTTCAAAACCAGTGCAGCTGAAATAAACAAAATGCTGGAAAACAAGGGCAGGGAATATATTTACAACATAACCTATACATTGAAAATTATAGTGCTTGAAGAGTCTGTTTAACTAAACTAAATACTTTACTCTAACAGGATAATACGTAGCCTGCAAAATTATAAGGGTTTATTCTCAAAGCAGTGACATGACAATTAAACAGTAAAGCCAGTTGCAGTGGTTAATGTGGAATAAAATACTGTTCCCATTCCCTGGTAGTGGGGAAAAAACATTTTACCCTCGTACTTAGGTCCTCGCTGGTGGTCGAAGGTTAAGTAATGTGAATCTGGCTTGTGCAGAGCTGCATTCATTGGCTCAGACTGCTCTTAGCCAATAAAAGCAAATCTGTTAGCTAGCCAGAAACTCTTGTTCTGGCTAATGACGCCCCAGCGACACTGGCCAAATAGTGACTTTTTAAAAATTCTCCAACTCAGCTATTGTAGCAGCTCAGATATTGAGCCGGAAGTTAGCATTTTGTTTTTTAATTACAATTCTATATTCCGGGAATAAACTCCAATATACATCAAGGAAAACAAAGCTAATACAACAACCAAACTTACAAACACTTAACAGGCAACTGCACTGAATGCCTCATGATAGGAGCTAAAGAGTAATTAATTTTTTTGTTTCTCACATGAATAATCACAAGGAATTTTTGGAAATTCTTTAGGGAATTTAAAACTTTACACCAAAATATTCAAGTTGAGTTGGAGTTGATTCCCAATTCTGCTATTTTAGTTTTTTAGAATTTGCAAGTCTACTGAATAACCGTGAATAGAGTAGATAAACAAAGACACACAAAAAATAAAATAAAAAAAACAGAAAAGCAGGGCGATTAGTTATCTTGATAGCTAATTAACACCTTTTTGTGAACAAGAGATTTGCATTTCAATTACCAGATAATGGTATTTCCAGTTAACTGATTTTCACTGGACAAACCGGAAGAGCCGTCAACGAAGTGGCATTGTAGCAAAACAAAAAAAACAACAACAAAAAGTATATACACTACATGAACTCTTGTAATAAACGTTTAAAATGTAATGAAATTTAATAAATGCACATTGCTTTAACACAACCTGTCCTTACCCTTGATACAATATGCGAACAATTAGTTTAGCCTTAAAATGGGACTTAGAAAAAATGTTAACTAAAGAAAGGAAGAATAATCTATCCAAAAGTAAGTTGGAAGATTTGGGATCGTTCCATTAACTTCTTTTGAGTTGCTAATCAAGCAATCTTGCGGAATAATGAGCTGATTATTATTGGCCTGTTTGCATAACAAAGCTCTCTAATAAAACCTATTTGACTGTACTTAGAGTGGTGTGAAAGATCAGCTGGGAACACAGCCTGTGGAATGCAGCAGACCTCACCAAAGCTTGGACTCAGGAATAAAGACAATGCAATTTGCCATCAAGGAAAGCCCAACAGAGCAATAAATTAACCCATGTGCAAAAGGATTAGGTCAGGTTTCTTGAACCAGGGAGGGGGGTGGGGGATGCTGTAAAAAGAAGGGAAAAAATCCTGTTCTTTCTTAAAGACACAGAGCTTCTTTCATTCAATGCCTTCACAACAGGAACCTTCTGAGACATATGGTTTGGTACTTAATTTATGCACGTTGTAAATAATGCATTGCTGCACTGCCTGAGTCCCTGCCATAACCCCCTAGCATTTTTTGGAGTGTTAAACATACACTTGAGAACGCCTACTCTGGCTTCACATACTAGATGCCAAGAAAAATAAATAAGACATTTCTCTCATCATAAAGGACAACAATATCCGGAGTGCAGAAAACTGCAGCGGTTATTGAAAGTAGGCCGTGTCCCTTCTGCAGAGAAGTGGCTAATTTGGGTGATTGATGGGTATAAAGTAATGAACAAAGTCATTGCACAAGTTCCATATCCTAAGGACAGAGGTTAATATGGAAGTGAGGGGAAAAAAGCAATCATCTATGTAGATGTAAAAAAATAAAGTGTCCTATTAAATCACCAAGTAAATATATGTTTCATGTCACAACAGCTGACAGAATAACATATAAAAAAATAAATAAATAAAATGCCCCCAGGTACACAGGATGAAAAATGGAAAAGGGAGGGAGGATTACAATAAAGCTTGTAGAACAGCTCTTTCCGGATAACAAGACCCTGTGCTTTCCTTAGTCAGCCCTGGAGAGCATGGGATATCATCTTACTACAACTTATGTCCCAGAATCCTCTTCTGAGGGTAAAAAAAAAAATCACAAACGCATCTATGCAACATATGTATTTCAAGGAACACAACTCTGTATTGAAGGTATAGATTTCTTGTAATGTCTGCATTTTACTTTATTCAATTTAAAAGACATTGTTTCTGTCTCTTTGGCGAACACAGACCATTAGAGGTGCATGTGTGTATTTTTAATTTCTGCTTTGCAAGAGGTCACAGAGAAGGCAAAAAGTACCAATATTGGCATATTGTACGATCAGAACGGCAATATAACCATAAAGACAGCATTCTCCAATTAATTTAACATTTTGTTTTTGCCAGAATTCCCACTGGAAGTTTTGGTGGGATCCTGTTAACAGGTATTGTTTTAGAAGTTGCATTCCTCTGTGACAAACTGAGAAATTAGGCAAATTTGGAGATTTAACTAAGAGACTGACTTTAGCATGGCAGAGATAGTGATATGGTTGGGAAATAGAGTGATATTGTAATGCTCCCTTTTTAAACAACACTTTACATGCAATTAAATATTTCTAAAAAACCTTTCTGAGAGAGATCTCTAGTTTGCGTGAGTCAAACTATTTTGTATGAAGTTTTCCATGCAATTGTAAGGATCATTTAAAATTTAACCAGGTGTAAAAAAATAAACACAACTGAACATAACTATTTTGGTGGGTTGTTTCCTTTAACCCCTTAAGGACCAAACTTCTGGAATAAAAGGGAATCATGACATGTCACACATGTCATGTGTCCTTATGGGGTTAAAAAGGTGATTCTGAAAAGGTTGCATAAAAGTTAAGAATATGATGAATATAATAATAAAGTAAATTAATGGTTTTGGGGCACACATTTTCTCTCGTCTAGAACCTAAAAATCCATGGGGACTTCACTCTACCCCTAAAAGCAACAAATGTCAGGAGGAGACATTTGAAATCAGAAAATATTAATTTATTAATTTAGTAATGTTTGGGGTTCTGGATTGGTTTATGGGTATATTTGTGCGTTCCCATAATGCAACACATTGTGTACCGATGTTCTTTGCAATATGAGATGGGCCAGATGTGCATGCATCCCATATCACCATATTTGAACTTTATACCTTCACACAAATCTTAATTCAAAAAATAAAACTTTGTCTACACATCCGCTAATACAGAGCATAGAGGAGCTGTTACGCTCTAGTGCCAATAAGTCCTATTTGCATGAAAGCACACTTTAAAACAGGTAATGGCAAATGTTTTGCTGTGTTTAGGGCCAATGTAGACATTTAAGCAAGATATTTAGGTATGCACATATGACCAATTGGCCTTATCTTAAAACTGGGAACAATTCACTAAGTGGCAAGTTGTAGTGACTTGATAAAAGCCTTTGAAAATGTACTTGTGAATTATTTACCAAGTCTATTATTTGGGCTTGAATTTTGGAAGTCGGTTCTCAAGTCATCATATGTTACTGTTTAATGAATAGCCTGTCTTTCGAATCACCTCCTCACAAATGCACCCCACTAAACCATCTCTATACAAGCCAATGGCTGGATCTCTCATCAGTCCATAATACTGCAATAGGTGGGTTTCAGAAACTGTGTTGGTCTCCACAAACTATCATCTTCAATCCAGCATGACATGGTTATCTGGCAGATAAGGAAATAAACTCCAGAGCTGTCACCAGATTCTTCATCTCAAATTAGAGAACATATTTATTATTATCCACACTCAACACAAATCTAATTCCGGACAGGCTAGCATTTGCCCACATAGGAAGGGCCTCAGCAATGTAATAAAAAAAAAAACCTGAATGTGGTTTTATAGTATAACCTGCTAATTAATTTAGAAAAGGGGGTAAAGGCTACATTGTAGGCTGGGGGGATAACTGCCAAGTAATTACCTGACTCTTCAAAGTATTATTATTTAACTGCAATCTGAAAATCTTTCACAGTATGATGTCAGCTCAGCAAATACCCTGGTGGAAAAACTACCCCCACCTGGCTGTCTGCACAGCTGAGGGGCAAGAGTGCTGTTTCAATTCACTGTAATGATTGCTTCTTAATGAGAACGATTATTTGACCAGGTGCACACACAAGTCCTATGTTTTAAACACAGACAAAAAGTCACACTTTAAGCTCAGTTTTTTTTTTTGTTGTAGTGTGAACAGGTGCTAAAACACTTGAATGTACAATTGTTGAATCAGTTGCTAGTCACCATTTGTACTGAATTGCAGTTTATTAAAACGAGCTCCTAAAAGCAACAGGACCACAATGGATTTCTAATTCCAACCCAGCAATAAATTAACAGGGGACTTGGGGAAATATTCCAGAAACTCCCATGCATTTTTCTTTATTTTCGCCGGTGCAATTAAGCTCTGACATTTGTCTATATCTCTTTTATGCTCTACTCTTGCGACCATAATGACGATAAACTCAGCTAACAATAAACACAAATGTTTTTTTATTTTTGATATTATTATAGGAAAGCGGATTTTGTTTGTATGTGTAATGTATTCTGTGTGACCTCTACAGCAATATCTCTATTAGTATTTCTGACAGATAACCAAGCCTGATTGATTTGTCCTTGCAATGTATATTTACTTTACAGCCTAATCTCTTATTTCTGAAATGTGGTCAGCAGTGATTGAGAGAGCCCTGAGAGCAAGCAAGTGAGCTAAGGGAAGGGGGGTGGGTATTGGTAAGGCTCTAGTATACCTTATACACAATTTCTAGGAGAGACAAACATTTAAGACATTCTGTTTTATTAAATTCAGAATGTTGTAATTTTTAAAAGGATGAATGAAATTATTTTGATACATAAATGTTAGTGAGCAGTTCTTATTGTTAGTATATTTATAAAGTGCCTACAGATTATGGAGAAAGGGATATAAGAGATGGGAAGCAATAGTTTTTCAATTATTGGCAGATTACAACTCAAATTAAACTTAGCCAAAAAAAAGCCTACTGTTCGCATATCTATTATAAAATACTTCAAACTCATCTGTTCTTTGGTATGTTGACTTTTGACTTAATACAATTCTTTAAAAATGCATCATTTAGCACTTATAGGTCACCGAACCTGCAGACTTTTGCTTTTAGTAAAAGCGTCAAAAATTCTTTAGAATGTTTTTGTTGCTTTTTGTTTTATTTTCTTATTGTAAATACCATCTATTCATTTTACAATGGAAACACGAATACAGTGCATTTTACAATACAGATTTCAAATGTCACACAAGGTATATGACCTTTAAAAAATATATATATTTTTACATCTGTGTTTCATCTGGAAATCTACAAGACATGCTGTCACTTTAAGGATTTGGAAGGTGCTGTTTTAACAGCTTGGAGTCCCTTCTCAGTTTCATGTAGAGCTGTGAGTGCACATATCCCCCCTCCCCTCCATGCAGAGGAAAAGACAAAGGTGATTTATCAAACTATCTGAAAAAACTTCCAATAAGCCTGATCCTTATCTAGAACAAACCACACAAACTGGCTCAGAGGTGTGTGCTCCTACTTCTAAAAAAGCACTTAAATCAATTAATAAATAATCTTTAGCTTCATGGCTGGAGGGGTTATATATATATATTGCAAGGCACTGCCTGATTTTTGTTCATTATTCCGAGCATGGTTTAGCAAAGTTTTCGAAGTTTTGGTTTTCTTTCCTTCTAGAGTAAAGCTTGGATTATACAGGGGATTTGCACAAATTAATGGCATTAATCTTTCACCCTGAGCTATGTTCAGATTTTATGAGAAAATCTATTTTGAGTGGCCAGAGTTAAGGGTAATTAAGTTTAATCGGGTTAATGCCACATCTTTGTCTTTAGAACCACTTGGCTGTACCCACAGCTAAGCAGAGTTTGAATAGGTTCTATGGCTTCCAATGTTGGCTAGCTTTATAAGGGTTGCAGTCCGCTCCGGAGTAATATGTTTACACGAATGCCATATTCTGCAGCATGCAAAAAGGGTTTTAATCACTGAAAGCAAAATTGTATTTAATCTGTATTGCAAATTTTGGCATAAAAATAACGAATCTGGCAAAAATATTCTAAATCGTATTTGGCGGTACGCTACATTAATAGTATGTTTATAACATAAACTGGAGTTAGGGTCATTACAGCATCAGTGATAACAGCACAATGATATTTTATCTGATTTTTGCAATATACTCACAATGGGTCCAGATTTGAACAAGTCATTTTCTGCAGTGCGCTCTAAGACAGTTTTATGAGCAAATTATTTGCATCTCTTTATAGTGCAACACATTACTATTTAATCCTTAGATTAAAGTATTTGTGTGTCTGTTCTTCTTAACAAATTACATGTGTATGTTTTAGGTAAGAAAAAAAAACTAAAAAAACCTTTTGCTATGTATAAATAATATGGTCATTTATTTGCAACTTTATTCTAAACATACCGGTAGATTGAAAAATAACCCTGCTGTCAACTGGTGTCTTGGCGGATTTGCTGAGAATATCTCGGTAAACCCTGTTTATTTATTGGACACATACACAATAAAAAGGCGAATGATAAAGACAATCATTCATCTAATCCATGGACTATACAGATGTAATGTACACACTCCATTTATTTACAATACAGTGATAATGAAATGAGAACCACATAGATAACAAAACTAATAAATTTGGGATTTATTTCCAGTGAGTTTCCAGGTGCCCAAGACCTGAGTTTTTTAGAAACTCGAGATCTTTGGAAAGAACAAAACCCACAGTGTGGCGTCTGTTCTCCACCCCCCAACAAAAACAAAGCTTGCAGGAATTTGTAGTCAAGGATCAAGCCAGAATAACACAAGGATTCATTGGAACCAGATGGGCACTTCTTGTTAGATAATATACTGCAGTCCTACCTTGAAGAATAATAAACAGGACATTGCAACAATTAATAGATCAAGACTTGGGTGCCAGAGTTCTTCGCTGCCAATTATACCATGTCTAATATATAAAATGCAACATCTTAAAGAAAACAAAAAAAACAAACAAAACAAAAGACCAACATTTTTTGAAGGAATTTGTTATATAGAATTTCTTTACAACATTAAGTAACTGAATCTCTATTAACATCACAATAGACAATATAGGAAAGTGCCACATTCTATTTTTTACACTATTAAACTAATGCTCTTCTACTTTCAACCAATAAGCAAATATACTCATTGTTAGTATAAAATTGTAGTGTGTATGCCTTCTGTTATATGTGCAACATTGTATTTGTATGTGCTTGAAATTTAAAGAAATCTCCAGTTATCATTCCTGTTAAAACATTTTATAAACAAATCAATAGACGTATCTGTCTGTCATATCCAGACATCCCTGGCACGACGCTGCAGAACATTGTACTTAATAAAACAAGGATAAGATTTAGTACTACTTCCTGAAATAAACATGTGTAGTGTATGAGACGATAAAAAGTGTGATATAAAAACATGGCATGGTAAGGACATTAAGTAAGCAACACACATTGTGAAAGGGTTAGTTTGCAGGAGGCCCTGTTCAGGGGATAATTTCTTGCTTTAAAAATAGGGAATAAGGAAAAGATTTTCTTACCTGTTTGGAATGTGCACAAGAAGACAGCGAGGATTTTGAAGAATCCCAGGGCTTTGGGTCCTGCCCCTCTCCCCATACCCATCCATCCAGCTTGGGCTTTATCCACAACCCTTGCCCTGGACGAACAGTCAAAAAAAGAAAAAGGAAAAAGAAGATATGAGCTAGAATAGATCACACTCCAGCAATGTAAACTTGCAAGAAGCTCTTCAGCCAGTACTGCAATGAAAGATTAGACACACTTTTTTTCCCTCCTCCTTTGCACAACAGCAAACCCATCAATCACCTATGTTCCCTTCCAATGCCTACACTGTGCTGCCTTTCTTCCCAGCCCCCACAGATGATGTCAGGCAGTTCCACCCACAGACTGTGCTCTGGCTCCTGTTACAGCCAGCAGGGCCTAGTAGGAGGAGGCCTCATTGCTTCTAACACACACAGGCAGCAACTGAGAAAATACAAGCTGCACACTGCCAAATAAGTAAAGTCTATGGAGGAAAAATAAACACAACACACTGCCTACTCAAGACGTTTGTCACCAGATGTCACATGTTGGTGCGCTAATATGTGCTGCCCTCTTATAATTAAATAATAACATTATAATAAAAATCTTGTGTTTCAAAAGGGCTTTGTTTGTTGAAATGAAACCCTTCCAGACCAGAATCAGGCAAAATCCACTTTTATTGCAATTTCCCTTACTTCAGTTGGTTCTGAATGGTTTGTTCTCCTACGTTGTCTACCACTTTTTTTTTTAACTCAGGCCCAGATCCTCCCCATCATATAGCATTAATCTATTATCTTCATAAAAGGAATATTATGTCCCAGAGCAAAAGCGGTTTGAAAAATATAAAGGTAGATATTTTGAAGGAATCTGTCCACCAATACTGTCTGTGAGTTTGAAGCGTTGTTCTTGTCACACTGAATATTAATTATTATTATTATTTTATTCTTTATATAGCACCAGCAAATTCCGTAGCGCTGTACAATTAATAGGACTAAAAGACATTTACATTTAAAGAGGTATTTTAAAAAGTATTTACATTATCTGCCTGTCTTTCTATCTAAGTCCACATACAAGTACTGATTAAAGTTACTTTGCTCAGATATACCTTGAAATGCCTATTAAATGAAAAACAACAAAAAACATTTAACAAGCAATTTTCTCAGAAAACAGAGCTTGTTTATTGCTAATTTATTATAATAGCTTTTATTGTACAGTTGCAAGAAAAAGTATGTGAACCCTTTGGAATGATATGGATTTCTGCACAAATTGGTCATAAAATCTGATCATCATCTAAGTCACAACAATAGACAATCACAGTCTGCTTAAACTAATAACACACAAAGAATGAAATGTTTCCATGTTTTTATTGAACACACCATGTAAACATTCACAGTGCAGGTGGAAAAAGTATGTGAACCCTTGGATTTAATAACTGGTTGAACCTCCTTTGGCAGCAATAACTTCAACCAAACGTTTCCTGTAGTTGCAGATCAGATGTGCACAATGGTCAGGAGTAATTCTTGACCATTCCTCTTTACAGAACTGTTTCAGTTCAGCAATATTCTTAGGATGTCTGGTGTGAATCGCTTTCTTGAGGTCATGCCACAGCATCTCAATCGGGTTGAGGTCAGGACTCTGACTGGGCCACTTCAGAAGGCGTATTTTCTTCTGTTTAAGCCATTCTGTTGTTGATTTACTTCTATGCTTTGGGTCATTGTCCTGTTGCAACACCCATCTTCTGTTGAGCTTCAGCTGGTAGACAGATGGCCTTAAGTTCTCCTGCAAAATGTCTTGATAAACTTGGGAATTCATTTTTCCTTCGATGATAGCAATCCGTCCAGGCCCTGACGCAGCAAAGCAGCCCCAAACCATGATGCCCCCACCACCATACTTCACAGTTGGGATGAGGTTTTGATGTTGGTGTGCTGTGCCTTTTTTTCGCCACACATAGTGTTGTGTGTTTCTTCCAAACAACTCAACTTTGGTTTCATCTGTCCACAGAATATTTTGCCAGTACTGCTGTGGAACATCCAGGTGCTCTTATGCAAACTGTAAACGTGCAGCAATGTTTTGTTTGGACAGCAGTGGCTTCCTCTGTGGTATCCTCCCATGAAATCCATTCTTGTTTAGTGTTTTACATATTGTAGATTCGCTAACAGGGATGTTAGCATTTGCCAGTGACTTTTGTAAGTCTTTAGCTGACACTCTAGGATTCTTCTTCACCTCATTGAGCAGTCTGCGCTGTGCTCTTGCAGTCATCTTTACAGGACGGCCACTCCTAGGGAGAGTAGCAGCAGTGCTGAACTTTCTCCATTTATAGACAATTTGTCTTACCGTGGACTGATGAACAGCAAGGCTTTTGGAGATACTTTTATAACCCTTTCCAGCTTTATGCAAGTCAACAATTCTTAATTGTAGGTCTTCTGAGAGCTCTTTTGTGCGAGGCATCATTCACATCAGGCAATGCTTCTTGTGAAAAGCAAACCCAGAACTGGTGTGTGTTTTTTATAGGGCAGGGCAGCTGTAACCAACACCTCCAATCTCATCTCATTGATTGGACTCCAGTTGGCTGACATCTCACTCCAATTAGCTCTTGGAGATGTCATTAGTCTAGGGGTTCACATACTTTTTCCACCTGCACTGTGAATGTTTACATGGTGTGTTCAATAAAAACATGGCAACATTTCATTCTTTGTGTGTTATTAGTTTAAGCAGACTGTGATTGTCTATTGTTGTGACTTAGATGATGATCAGATCACATTTTATGACCAATTTGTGCAGAAATCCATATCATTCCAAAGGGTTCACATACTTTTTCTTGCAACTGTAGTTTGACTGCTGACAGCAAAATACACTCATTTAATGATTTCATGTATTTACAACAAAAATCTGCCAAGTTATCCAAAGTGAACTAACAGGTTTCCAGATAAAGCTAGCAATGTCCCTACTGAGGCTCTCTTTTTTAAAAATACATTAGTATGTGATAGCCAGTGGCTTTTCATCTGATGAACTACAACTCTATAACCCTCAGACAGACTTGTGTGATTGAGTGTGTAGGTTGCAATTTGCCCCCTGTTTCTTGCACAATAACTACTCTCTACTTAAAGTTCCCGGCCCTGTCCTGATTAACTTTGCAATCTGTGTATTGTCGTATCCAAACATATAGCTAAAAGGTTATTCAATATTTTGTTAATTTGACTTGAGATATCTCACATTAATATAATCGATATCGGTATGCCTTCAAAATGGGGCCATGTGACGCAATGGCAATTTCACAACTATTAGGGTGCAGGAATATTTACTAAAGTGAGAATTGTCGGCAAAATAAAATTGAAAGTGAATTTCAAATTTGAGGCCAAAGTAGCTAAAATGAAAGAACAGGCCTGACATTTGAAATTGACTTTGAATTCCCAACAATTCACACTTCAGTGAATATCTCCATCTGAAGTGTGCGATGCTGATCAGATAAATTCACATTATTTATATAATGTGTTCTGATTCCAAACTAGCATTTGCTTTTTTTAAGTGTTTTTCAGATATTAAAATCAATCTAAAACTCTGCATGGTGTTAAATGGATAGATCAATGGCTTCATGGAGTGCATTTCAATAACCTTAATTGTTTATGGATTACACATCTATTAGTAATTAATTCCACAGTTGTTTCTGTTGGGCTAAAACTCTAATAACTAATTGACATGCACATTATGGGGTGTTGGGATATCAACATCAGTCAGCAGATATAATGAGTATGTTTAATGGACTGTTCAGAAGGTGGAGATTTTACAAGTGCTCGTTGTTAGAGAAGGAAGTACAGTTTACCTCTGGTTTTTGTATATCTCAAAAAGTAATTGGTCCCCCTTTTCTGTGTCTTTTTTTTAATCAATAAAGTTTAATAACCTTGAACCATTTGAATTCTGCTTACGATCTTCCAGCAAGGATGACTTACAAGTTAAGGGCCCAAAACATGCTAAAAATAATATTTTTTCAGAATAAAGACATTGGTGCTGTTTTAATACAAAGAAGAGGAAGTTTTGAATTGTACCTAGACTGCTGGAAGTAAATAGATGAAAATGGCAAGTGAGACAGACACGTGTGGCGGTGAAGTTGAATAATGGAAACTAGCAGCTGAGAAATATATGTATGAAATACTGCTATCGCATGATGATTTGTAGGATGTATTACTCAAAGACGGACTTGATGATTAACTGAATAGGAAATAGAGAATAGACAAACAACCCCTATTACAGCCTGCTAATTCACATCAGAAATAAACACAGAACAAATTGCATGTGGGGCAGAATCTGCACAAGCATTCCGCTTTCAAAGACCATTAAAGTGCTCTGTGTGCAGTGCACCTGTGTGTTTAACCCTTCAAAGTAAAACATTGTCCTTTTGCAGAACCTTTGAAAGGTTAAACTTGTCTCTCATGGCTGTATTACAGACAGCCACTAGAGGCGCTCCTGCTGCATTGACTAAGTAAAATTCGGCCATGTGAGGTTTCAGCTCATAGGAAAACATTGCATTGAATGCATTGGATGTGTGTGCAGCATTCGCAGTACATGTGCATCAGGTCCCTAATGCTCCTCCTGTATAAGGGCATTGGATTGGACCTGCGATGGAGGTGACATCTCACTGATGAAGTTGCAAATTGGAGGAAGGTAGTGTCTCATTCTAACTAGGGGCAGGGGCACTGTAGAGTTAGGAATACAGGTTTGCATTCCTAACGCTTTCGTGTTACTTTAAATAATAATCTGTTATATTGTATCTTATTGTAACAATGCAGTGTTTGGGGGCCCAGGACATACTTGAAAACAAGATAAAGCTCAATGTATCCTATTTGGTAAAATATTTTATAAATAAATAATATGTAGAAGTCAATCAATTGGCATTTTAAAATGCACCATAATTGTGAGGGAACAAGTCTTTGGCAGACAAGACTCAGACCAATGTGCCCATGCTACAGCCAGGGGCTAGCACTGTTGTGTAGTTTTATATTTTTTCCAAGGCATCAATTGGAAATACAAGCTTGGGGCAAGAAAGGTGATATCAGCTGGAAAACACAAAAAATGGGAAATATGAACAAGGGGGACAGAAAGGCATATCCACTGAACTTGGTTGGTGACATGAGGAAATAAAAACCCTCATAATACGACGGGCAGAGGAAGTGGGGGTAGAGAAAGCACAGGTTATCACAGATCACTTATATATAAAGTAAAATAATTGTTTAAATGAGCAAATGAGTGTGCAAAATGGAGCGATGCTCTGCTCATTACAGCACTCCAAGGGCCAAGGAATTAAAGAAACACTACAAACACCATACCCAACAGCGGATATACTGCCAGGAGTGTCTTCTTAGGTTAAGCACCATGGGTAAGCACCATGGCCGAACACCAGTCACCTCCTCCTCTACCTGCATTAAGTCCAGAGGTGCAAAGAGGCATTCATTGGCTGAGAGCACTCAGCTGACACTCTTAGCCAAATAATCGTTCCAGCATAGCTCATTTAATGCCAACTGGTTGGTACTTGCCAGCTGCATGTTAAATCTTATGCATATCTGCATATATAAGTATATAATTGAGGGAGAAGGTGGAGTCGGTGGATACTTGTAACTGGTGTTCTCAGTGTGATAGGGATTTAGAACTTGGGATTAGCTGCATTCGTAGAATCATTTATAAAGCACTCTAAAGTTTAGGAGCTAGATGTAATAATTTTGAAAACTATGGATCCACAGAACATACATTCTGCTTTGCCCTGAGTTTGTGAAATAACATGAAAACTCTACATAAAACTGCAATGCAACGCCATTATACAAGTTTAAAACTTTTCCATTACTACTTCCAAAAACTCAAACTCTTTCAGTGATTTTATCACTTAAATCTTTTCCTTCCTGTCATTTCTACAGATTAAAAGTACTGTTCCCCCACAATCCTGTGCAGGGACCCCTTCTGACCTTTTAGTTGGAAGGGTTAATATATGCAGAAGTGTCAAATCAAGGTAAGATGAAGCATTTCCACTGAGCGCTATGTATAAACATTTATAAAAGTGCTATACAGAGAGCTGATAAAAGCACGTCCATGGTGAGGAAAGATAAGCACAATGTCATCCCATTCCATTAACAAGTATGTGGTGATTAATCAGAGTGCAGTTAAAGGTATATTGGTTCTAGAACTTGTTGGGAAAATTCATTTTTCCAAATCTATAACATACATAAAACCTTTCCGTTTTATCAGAGTTGTAATAACTAATCCTAGAAATGTACATTTGAGTGCTTTACAGGCAATCTATCATTGGGCAAGGATAAAACAAAATTGAGACAGAAAAGAAAAAAAATTGGTTCACAGGGATACATTTACTAGAAATGTTAGTTACAAATGGAATATTGTTATTATAAATGAAAAATGGAGCCCCAAAGAATAACACTAAATGTTTTATCAGTTGTTTAAAACAAGCACGATTTAACAGACCAGCTAAGCAACATAACCACCACAGCCCACTAATAATGTAGTGGTTATGGTGCCAGGAATGTCCTGGTGCTATACCAGGATGAGATGTCAAACCGGACTTGCTGGGATCCAGGAGGAGAAGGCACATGGGTCTACAGAGCAAAGCATGGCCATACTAATTGAGGGCTCTCAGCCAATAAGCACAGACCTGCATGAGACATCTGACTTCTCCTACTAAAGAAGACTGGATGTGGCATGGGTGTCTGGTGGAACCGGGGCACGTTTCCCAAAAGAGATAAAATGGTTTGACATCTTACAGTGGTATGCTATTTATCTCTTCCTCATGCTGATGAACAGTTTAAGAATTTTTGTCCTGTAGTATAGTATATATAATCCATATATAATGCAGTTAAAGGGTTCCTTCCACTAAAAACCTGTGTTTTCATAAAACTCTGGTTTTGGTTTTAGTAACCCTTTCTGAGTATATATCCCTCCCCCCTCCAACTTTAAAATGTTTTAATTAAGCACTAATCCAGAGTTTAACTAAATCTCTGAGTCCAATTTTTCCCCTCAACCGGATACTCCTTGGCCGTAATCACTCCCCCTCACTCTAGGGCAATAGAGGTCAGTGAGTACGGACTGAGGGGAGGCATGGGAGAGCATGCTGTGCATGCTGGTGTCAGATTCTAAATTTGCACAGAATTGACTTTTGCCAGCCCAGAACTTTTCACTTTTCATGCACGCTGAGGTCATGTATGCTTAAGAAGGCATGGTGTATCTAGAAGCCATATTACACAGTGACAAAACAGTTGCTGCTGATTTCAAACAGGTTAGCTGGATATTGTGCAGGATGCCTTGGCTGTATGCCAAGTGTTTGCTAAAGGATGGATTTTAGCTTTTTATTGTTGTCATTTTAGGAATATATCTATGTCTCTCAACTCTTTATAATCTCCAAATTCACAAAGTACAGTTTGCCTCGCTATTTCCCAGTTAAAAAACAAACCAAGATAAAACAATGCATTATTGGATAGATAAATTATACAATTAGAAGGGTGTATGTAAAAATTAATGTAATAGAAAATGAGTTGCCAAATATTACTGACTTATCTGCTGAACCGAACTCAAGTTTGGCAAGTCCCAGTAACATCAGTAAACAATATGAAAGTGTTTAATTGTTCTATTCTACCCATTAAGGACCAATGACAGCCCAGGTCAATTATAGCGAACAGTTGCCAAATCTTTTGCTGAAATCAAGTACAAGAAGTAAAAATATCCAGACTCAATGACTTTCTTGCCTTCCTCATCTTAATTTTTCCTTCTTCTTCTCTACATTATTTCAATTCCCCTTCCTCTTTCCTAGTTCCCCTATTTCATCTGCTTATTGTCCCCTCTACATATATCCTCCCATTGATTATCTGAGCTCATATTCAATAACAGCGTACAGTATGTCCTATCATTAACAGCTGCCCCACTCTTCATGGTCTCTCCTTTCTCCTTCCTATGTGGGATTGTCATTTCCTGTCTGCTGACACCTTCTGTACTGGTAAAGTGCTTTATCTACTCTAATGTACGCACTAGTAACAAGATACTGGCTGATGGATGTCGTAGAACGTTATGCCTTTTAGAACTACATGTTTAATTGGACCTTCAGGAATGATGGTGCCCTGTAGGCAGATACTGAGTCCCAGCAGTGGCACCTCTGCTAACATTTCACCAGCAGCCAACTGTATGATCACTCTGGTCCTTTGTTGATAATAAATTATATTTCTTGTTTAACTGTTTATTAACTGCTCCAGCACCTGTGCAAAGCTTAAAACAACTATATGATCTGATGAGCCAAGCTGGCAAATTTTGCTTTTCAGTCTTGCAGTTTTATTCCAGAAACTTTATTGCATTTATACATTTTTCAGTGTAAAAAACTTAGTTAACCCCTTATGGATCAACAACTATACATGCCGATATAGCAAACTGGTCCTAAACCTCTTAAAGACTAATTCTTATCCATGCCATAATGGATGTAATTTCTGGTCCTTAACCCCTTAAGGACCAAACTTCTGGAATAAAAGGGAATCATGACATGTCACACATGTCATGCGTCCTTAATGGATTAAAGACCTTGTGCGAGGAATGAATATTTTGCGTGCTTACTCTCTACGTGTCTATAGAGCCATGGTAATGCTAACTCAATAGGACATTCCGGCTTTAACAAACTGAGAAGAAGAAACATTTCTCTTAGATAAAATTAGCCTATACAACAGAGTCTCCAAGTGTATTTCAAGTGGGCCGAGAAAGTGTAGGTTATACTGTTAAGTGTATTTCTGCTTCTCCTCAGCTGTCACATGTGTTTGCTCAGTGATTATGATTGCAAAACCTGCAAAGAATCAGACATCTTTAACCCTCTGACAGTCAGAGCTGAAAGAATGTCTCTCTGAGATTGTTAACACCTGCACTGCCATAGATGCTTTGGAATGTTGCTGTCACAGCTGACATCCATAAAGTATTACAGCTGTGGCTTGAACACATATTTAGCCTTTTAAGTTTCAGCGATGCTTCAATTGTGTTGCATCTCTTAGGTACAGTCTAAGCACTACACTCACTTCATCGTATAGATACTGACCCCCCCAGCTTTGCAAATTAAAACATTGCTGTACTGTTTACTTTTCGCTGTTTAAATGCTTTCTTGGTGGCTGTCAGCCAGACAGACACTAGGGGCTCCAGATCAAAATAGATTTAATTACTGAATCTGACGCCTGTGTTGCTATGCAAAGTATACTGATGCCGGATGCTGTGGTGTCCAATACTTCTTACAGAGAAGCATTGAATTCAGTGATTCATTTGATTGGTGTATACGGGTGATTGCTGTCCATGTCTTTGATGACATCACCAGAAGATGGTCAACCTGCTTTGAGTAATCAATCCTGGTGCTGGGGTAAAGGTAGACTTAATCAATATACACACTAAAAACAATAAAACAAAAAAAAACAACTGGGGGCAGTGATTCACATTGATTAATTAGGTTGTTTCTTTAATTGTGAGTTATATTAGTATTCACTGATTTGGCATGCTGATAACAGTTGTGTCGCTACCACACAGAAATGTGACAGCTGTGTGTCTCCACTCTTTGTCTTGGTCAATATCAAAGATCATTAACAGTTTAGAGCTACTCGAAGCGTCATGCCATCCTGCAAGATTATGCTGGGCGTTTGCGTGGCTTGAAGATTAGTGAGCGTGGCACTGCCATGGGTACCTGGCAAGCAGAGCTTCTGCGCACTGAGCTAACATACAATACCTGTTGACACAATTACAGCTTAATGTGTATTTGTTAGACTGGTTTTGTAGACATTAAAAAAAAAAAAAAAAAAAGATTACTGTACTAAATGAGTTTGGTCCCCAGCAATAAGAACTTAAATGTGAGCTACATGCCACAAACTGCCTATCCACAGCATCCCGTAATAGCTCAAAGCGGAAAATAAATGTAACATACCACCTGGAAGTTTGACAGGAACTATCTTCTCATAAAACCAAGGTGAGGTTTATGGGCCTTGTAAAAATACATTGCATACTAGGTGCTTTGGCAGTCAGGATAGAAAAAAAAAAAAGCTTCATTTGTATAAAACGAAAGACCGTCAAGAAGAATAAAGGCTGCAAATGACTTTTGATAGAGTTTTACAAGCCTCCATTTAGGTGCCTGATTTAGAGATTAAAAATTGTGAGATATAAATGCTATGCAGACCCACATATTAATACATAAGCATTATGGATGTATTTTACTGTAATTACACGGTATTATAAATCATAAATATGTATCACGTTTCAAGCGTTACAAACTTGTGTTAGCCTTCTTTTTGTTTGGAACTAATTATATATATATATATATATATATATATATATATAGAGAGAGAGAGAGAGAGAGAGTGTATTATAATGCATTTCTAGTTTTGTTGAAGATAGTTGTGAACTACTGGATGCTATCAGATGTCCCCATAAGGATCTGCAGTGTTGATGGTACTTAGGGGACTATCAACTAAACGAATTTTTTTTTTTTTAACTCAATCCTCAACTCACCAAACCACAATTTTCTATTTATTGAGTAGACCTCAAGGTTTCTGTAATAATTATGGGTTACTGTTACATATCAGTTTCTAGTTACCAGATATGTATTTTATGATTAGTGAATCAAGATAAGGCGTTGAAAGCGATAGGATTATTCAGTAAAATCTGACTATTAGACAATTAAACCCTCTATGCAAAACTGCAAAACTGAGGGAAAAATTGCTGCTCTGGAAAAATGTTCAACTCAGATCTAGTCACACCTGGCTATTGCAGCCTTTATTTTGCAATTGGAATTTAATAGGCTAAAATTCATAGGTTAGTGTAAAGCAGAGTTCTAGCATACTTTGCCCGCAGGAAAAGAAAATATATATATATATGTGAGCTTCGGCAAGACAGTTATGTGTAGTTTTATGAACCTGACACTGTTTGATGTACTTACAAGTTACTGATAAAGCTGATAAGTAGGATCATTGAGTCCATAGAACAATGACAGTATTTGTACATGTGCAAAGCAGGTAGATTTTCAGAGCTTAAAGAAGAGGAAGTAGTATGATGAGCAAAGAGAGACAGTAAAAATGGCAACAAAACAAAACAGTAATAGGCCATTACTACATATGTCCCAAAACTGGAAAACATGAAAGTGGGTTGGTAGTGTTATGGTTACAGAGATGTACACTAGTGGAGCAATGCAAGCCACTGTGACTTCTATAAAGGAGTCATGACTGCCCTGCATATGCATTTTTTTTCAGAATCGTTTCACACAGCTCCCAAATGCCATTCCGGATCTGGGCTTATTGATAGGCATGTTTCTACTGCATTGTCTCCTTTCCACTTTGTGTCTGTAACTTTCCTAGATTCCAGAGCACAAAATAATTCCTTGTTTTTTTGTATCAACAATTAAAACGTGTTACTAGAAAGAATATATTGTGATTTCTCTAATTACCTATGGCCTTTCAGTACAAAAGTAGATGCAAGTATTAGTCAACATACTTGATCCAAGAAGAAGTAATAGCTCATCTCACAAAGCATCGAACTGGAACATTATTTATTTATCACTGGCATTTATAAAGCGCCAACATATTCCGCAGCGCATGTAGCCCTAAGTTTGCACCGGTTCTTCAGTTGATACTTCAACCAACATCACATGTCACCATGAGTATGCACAACAACCAACAGCTCCTTATAGTTTTGCTGTTTCCTATAATTTTGGAGTAAACTCACAGTTCTGCCATACTAACCTGTGCTATATATATTGTAGCATTTGTACTAAATTTAAATGAGTGTATTAAATAAATCAATACACATCTAGAGATGGCAATGATCTAGATTAGTTAGAGCTAACTTTTGGCCCACTAGCTAGTGTGGACTATATCATAAAAGCGGCTCCAATTAAAAGGATTGTAGTTTAGAATGTTAGTCCCCAATAGCTGGGACTTCCAAAATCGGGGCCTTTATAAAGATGTAGGGCGTTTTAACCTGTAGACAATACAGTTCTTCAATCTGTTACTTGTGAGCAAACCATCTGTTGGACGTTTTGGATTTTTAACTCTTTGTTTACCAAGTATGAGTATTATATGTATGCCCGTATTTTGTTTTATCTACATCTGTGAACACTGTTGCTACTAATTATGTGATTTTCTTCCTATACCCCTGAATGTAACCCACATACAGACCATTTTGTATTTTCAGTGTTTTCGTACTTGTACTTGAATTCTCAATAATAAATGTAAAAAAAAATAAAATAGTTATTTGTTGTTCTGATTTCCTTATTTGAATTCGCTGTATATTTTCACTGTTATCCAATAATGAAAATATTATATAAAATCAAACACAAACACATAGTATGTTCCCTTGCATATCTATACACATTTTACTCTAGGCAACATAATCACCAATCCCTAGAGTCTCATTCCCTGGCTTAATATCAAACCTATCAACACAGTCCAGGCTGGACAAATTGTCATTGATAATGCTGTAGTCGTCATGCTGCCTAAAGTGAGGCTAAATGGTGGGCTATCCCAGAGCTCTAAGCCAATCAACGCCATCTAAGATGGATAAAACAGACACTTATAACGGGGAAGCGTTAGTTCTAAAAAGGGAGCCGAGAACTGGTTAAAATCAAACCAAGCTATAGTGGTTATGAAGCTTAGAGTGGACCTTTATACGGTATATTGCGATTTGGAATGATAATTTATAGGCAAATTTGGCTGGTTTGGAATTAACATTATTATCAAACTTGGATATTTTGGAAAAAATATTCCCTTCTTTTTCCTTACAAGTCCCAATTTAGCGAATAAATCCTATAGTGTTTGTCAAAAGTTTGAAATGTGTTTGTTAGGTTCAAATCTAAAATTGCTACAGCTGTTGACGTTAATGCCCATCAAACTGTTATAAGAAGTGAAGTCAAAAGCAGCTGTATCGACAGACGTTGTTTATCCAGATCCATGCAATATGATGATTACGGAATATACAATAAGCATATTCTGTCTTCTTTCACACTCTGGCTCTTTGGCAGATTTCAGTGGTCAGCCTCAGAGCCAGAACGTGCGGATTCCACCCTTATATGAGCATAAAATGTAGCTCAAACCTTATCAAGATGCACTGGATGGATGAAAAAAAGAGAAACATGAATTTCTAGCCAAAACTGAACATGGCTTTTTACGCTAGATGGAGCAGTTGTTGCACAGCATCACATTCAGGATCTGCTATGCAGTTTCTGGATATGTATCATAAGACATATGATGAATGCCACATTTAACTTATCTGTCACCAACACAGCCCCTCCTCCCAAAAATAAATAAAGTTATAGACAGACTATGTCAACTCTAATTATTCCGACTTGTCCATTATATTCCGGAAACAGATTTGGATGCTTTCTAAAATTTCTCTAGAAGGACATATTGAAGGTTTGCTTTTAAAATGGTCTGTCACAGCTGAGCTAAAAAGGTGCTGAATAAATAAAAGAAAATTTTGGATGGCACAATAATGGGATATGCCTTTATACACCTTGGTTAAGGTTAGGTACACCCTTATTAGGGAAAACTTTATCAGCTTGTAAGTGCAATACCACTGCACTCTGTAAAGGGGGTACATCAGAGTATCCCCCTAAATTAGGGTTTGGTACCCATTAATGAGGTTAGGCACCGCTTAATGTATGTTAGAGTGCCCACTGCTGTACACATGGTAGATTTACATATTCATTTATTGTACACGTGGTAAGGGTTAGGATTAGGATTTGGGAGCCCCTTGATTTTCAAAGTTTCCATGCTTATGTTAGGGTTTAGATAATTTAGGGGTTAGTTATGTGGATTAATGCGGATTAAGGAGTACAATGCACTTGAGAAACTATTGACTGTAATTATATCAATGTTACCATTGGAAAGCAAAAAATGCTCATAACAAGCCTTTCATGATGAATTTTTTTCATGATTACAGTTTTGTATTGAATATTGTGTTTGTCCTTTTATTGTAATTATGTATTGTAATTATGTAAAACTGCAAAACGTACAATGCAAAACAGACAATGTAGGAGTCAGTGGATTTAGCAAGCTCCTCACCAGAATCATGCTTCAGAATTAGGCAGAGAAAACAATCTGCCAATAATTATTGCCCAGGAAGGGAAAAACTCTCTTCTCTGCATAATTAGCTAAATGTATAAGTGCAATCAAGGAGGATGGAGTGAAAAAAAATAATACACTTAGTAACTAAAAATGCTACAGACTTAGCAATTTGTACGCCACAGGGATTTTAGGGCTCAAAGGTTCCTAGAATGCCTTTCTCTTATATATTAGATGTTATTACCCAAATTTATCTTTGTGATCATTGTATACTTGGAATAACATTATAGATGTAATGTTGTTTACAGTGCTTATTTCAGCAGCCACAGTCTGTAGACTTACGTTAGATGACAATTTAAAATAATGACTCTTCTCGTATCACCAATTAGCTCAATATTGTTACTATTGTAAAGACAAAGCGTGCAAGCTGGGAAGATCTAGCTCTTAACTAGTAGTCTTGGTCCCATCGCCCCCCAATTAGCATTCAGATGCCTTCGGCTTTGTTCTGCCATAGCTCACCAAAACAATTCAGCTCTTAAACCTGCAAGTAAGTATGGTGCATTGATAATGGCTTGAAATCTGTATCTTGCAAAGATAACATTTTGCATCCCTGCTAGCATGATTCGACAATCAGTAGCATAAACTGCTTAGCTCAATACAAACATACAAAACAGGTACGAAACAGAAAACCTTTTTTTCCACATGATACAGTCGCTACATAAGAATTTAATCAATTTATATTTAATCTCTGATAAGATTCAACAGTATTTAATGTGGATTTGTATCTGCAAAACACATTAAGGTCTGAAAATAGTGAAAAGAAAACAAGTCTTGTTTGCTCCTCAAAAACATATCTTTCTGTATCTCACTATAACACTGCCCGTACAGATACCGTATTAGACAGCAGACAGCATCACGGTTGGCTAAATCCAGCAGGTGGCACTGTTTATCCTAATCATTTTACAAATTATAAGAAAAAAAATATGTGTATCTACAATTCCGCAAAGGCACACACAGCTTGCTCACTTTTACTGAAATGCTAATATCAGGAACCCTGCGTTTTTCTAGCCAGTATAATTAATTTGACATCTAAAACCAAGTTTATTACCGTAAATCATCTGCCCCTAGCTGACAAATGTTATCTTTTTTTTTTTTTTTACACAAAATATGAATTTTGAGGAATACAAAGGCCAAAGTATAAAATGTTTATATTTTCATAGAGTATATATTTGGAGTTGTAATGAGTGTGGAATAAAATTACATACAGAGATTGTCAACTGTTAGGGTGATTTGCTGAGATATTTCTGAAACAATCTTTCCAGGAAGTTGAGTGGACCTCACCAACCCACACTGGAGAGCTTTTCATTAAACGCAAATAATGGAAAATGTGCATGCTTAATGGAAATTAAAAGTTCTCCTCTGGTGAAATCATTATAGTAAAACATGTTCGATGTTTCCTGAGCTAGTGGAAACCACTGCACCTGTTAACTCTTTTTGGTGTATCTTCCAAGAACTCTTGAGTGTTAGAGGTGTGATCACCTGATCGCAAAGTGTTGGGCACACGACTGTCACTCATGGGATTAAACTCTAATTACCTTGTAAGGCAATCGTTATATAAAAATATATTTACATGTTAGGAATCAATATGTCAATATACAATCTTTACAATGAATTAAAGCTTGCTCAGTCTAACCCTTATCATATTGATGGATGATTATCTTGGTCACTAATTTGACTGAATAATCTGAATAATGTATGGATATCTTATTCCACCATTTATTTTTAAACCTTTCAGAACTACACGGTAATCTCTTCTTCACCATTCTTTCTTTTTCTATAAAATTTACTTATAGGAATATTTGACAGAAAAATTTGTTGAACTTAATTATATTAAAAAAAAAATTCTTAATATTACACTATTTTCCGTATCTTTCTCTACTTCATTATACTTTGCATTATTCAGAAATATAAAGATAGTAAAAAAAAAAACCATTATTTCACAGTTTGTTATATAATTAATTATGTTAGCAATTGTAAAATAAAGAAATTGTACCTTTTGAGCAGACTCCCTGCAAGTGAGCTTTTGTTCAATGTACAAAAAAAATAGAAGCTTAATGATATCATAGGTATTAATATACATGTATAACCACTATCTATTACAGCTATAAAGAAAATAAATCAGTTCATTCCTCGATACAAAGAAATCTAAAGAAAAGAGAATTCACGCTGCCTCAACTGGAGACTGCAATAAGGAACAGAAACCTTAATTTAGAGATTTATTATATCTAAAAAAGAGAGGAACACAACTCCCACTGATAAAACATAACACAAGATAATTTGGCTAAAGGAACCAATGGAGTTGACACTATGAGTACAGCAGATGGGCAAATTTCCATTTCTACTCTGTCCCATTAGGCACCATAACTAGTCAGTTCACTCCTGCAGAGCAGACTAAAGATTGTGGAGCACAGTATATTATTGGGGAGATGGTTTTCCTGAGGCCAGACATCACATTATATATATAGAACCCATCTGAATGCTAACTGGGGGCAAAATGGAACCAACGCTACTTAAGAGCTAGAGCTTCCCAGCTTGCACGTTTTGTCTTTTTAAAATATCAACAATATTGAGCTGATTGGTGATTCGAAAAGAGTTATTTTAAATATTAATCTAAAGTAAATATATACATATAAAACCAAACTGACACCATTATTACCAAGAGCCTTATTTTTTTACACCATTGAATGCTCACTCTGAGCAGATGATCTATATGCTAAACCGATGGCCTTTAACCCATTGATCTGCACCCAAAATTAGGTTCATGTGCTGTTTTCAGTATGTCCCCACTGGTTGGAACAGGCATAACATATTCATCAAGCCACAGGCACCTGTCCACAATAAATTTAAATTAACGTTGGGGGCACAGCCTTCTCCAGTGCAATTGAGACTCCTTTGATGCTGGAGAAAGATTAATGAAAGTATTTTTCAGAATTTATTCTAGAACATGTAACACAGCTGAATGCATCACTGAGCTAATTTTACATTTTACAAAAGGCAAATATGCTGCCAAGCTAATGCCATGTGTACAAGTTAAGTCATTGTAAAAAAAAAATAAAAAAAATAAAAAATAAAAGGTTAAGACCACTGTTATGTATAAAAGAGACTTATTTACGAAAAGGAAAATCCTTTCACTTTTACACAAAAGTTTCTCTTTTGTACATAAGACTAGATCCTTAATGCTTCTTCTGCCATAGTGAGTGTGATAAATGCATTTGGCATTGTATTCTGTTCTTTTTTCTGTTTTGTTATTATTACTAGGCTCCATCACATTTAAGGCAAACACTTTTGTGATGCCAATGGCATGGATGCCTGCACTAAGTCGAATAAATAGGCAATGCCATTATGTACACACGGTTTGATGATTGTGTCTCATTTTACATGACTCACAGCTTTATTCCTAAGGATAAAAGCGTTTTGCCCGTAACATATGTAAAACACCAAGGGAGTCAATGTGATGTGAATAAATACTATAGAAAGTGGCTAACTGGCTTATCTTCTGTATTGCAATGCTAGACGTGTGTGTATATGAATGTCACAGTTTAATATTTTTTTTTTTTTTTATCCACTGCATGTATGCATACACGTACACACACAAACACACACATACGACATCTATATTATGTTTTTTTACATGTCAACCTGTTTAAATTGTTTTATGAAACGTATTGTCAGTTTAACTCTGCAAATTCATCATGTTACATTTTAAGAGACAGAAATAAGATTACTATTTCTATATAAAATCCAACATTGGCACTAACGGTAAAGACTTACTTTGCATACAGTCTCTTTTCCTTTATGGCTTTAAGGATTATGATGTGTTTCGGATAGAGGGGCTGCATGTTTATGTAAGTCATCTCCTTTTGTTAAACAAACTATACTGCAACAAAGCAGTGGCCCTTTTAAAATTAGCATTAGACAAATTATTGCTATTATTATTATGTCCATTGATATAGCGCCAACAGATTCCGTAGCGCTTTACAATATTATGAGAGGGGGGATTTAAATATAAATAGGAGAATTACAAGAAAGCTTACAGTAACGATAGGTTGAAGAGGACCCTGCTCAAACAAGCTTACAGTCTATAGGAACTTGATGAACAAAGACAAGTGCCTGTAATTATATGAACGTATTTGAAAGTATTTTGACATATACAGTACGCTAGCTTCTGGTGCCTTATTGTATAAACAAAAATCTATATTTATAAATAAAATAATACTTTGCTATTGTTATATAGTTAAAATACAGTATGCGGTTTGACACTTATGAAAGTATTTTAAAATGGAAAAAATCTTATACATTTCACTCCGACTTTATTTTCATATTAAATGGGCAAAGTCATATCTTTTGTTTAACACTGCTATATGTAAGAGAGACAATAGCTCGTCTGATTGATACACGCTATGCTTTTTACATTGTGCTAAAATCAAAACTGCACTTAACTGTAGAACCTATGCATTGTAGAAAACATTGTATGGATATGCATATGACATAATAATTACTTATTTTATGATGTCAACGCATATGTCACAGTCAATTGTCTTGGAATTCTACAACCCAAACATTAATCAGTTTTAACCTGTTGAATGACAGGTCAAACAGCAGATGATCCTATTAACCTTTCACACAAATAATTGTAAGTACAAGATTGCATTGTGATACTTTGATAGTTTACAAATGCCTGCTGTGAATGTAATGTTCGTTCCTGACGCTTTGGAATATTGCAAGAAATTATAAGATCTTACTGGGTTTCTAGCCCTTCTAGACCTTCAAGGGTTAAATATGATTTTAAGAAACAGATGGTAATATAGAGTTCCGGAGAATGCACACAGCTATGATTAGAAGCATATAGGATATCAGCATCATTAGGGGGTCCAAACGGAGAAATGGATCTCAGGGACCTAGAGACCCACTAACTGACCATAGACAGGACATAAAAAAAACAGACATAATCTAGCTCACAGACAGGATATAGAGACTATATATACAGACCGTGTTCTGAGCTGGGATGTATTTAAATGAGTTCTTTATTTATAAATGTTCTTATCAAAAATGTTTTTTGTTTTATTCTGAAGTGCAGCGTGTTAGAATGGGCTATATTAAAGTGTGATGTACTGTCCTAGAGAGATGGTCCATATCAGTTTGTTGCACTATAGGACACCCAGGACATACTTGAAAACGAGAGAAATCTCAATGTATCTTTCCTGGTAAAATATTTGATAAATAAATAATAAATAAACGATAGAATGCCGTGGGTTTGTTCCATGTATCTGTAGGTATTCAGGATTCTGTGTGAAGGGTAGACTCCTGTATGAGTTGTACGGCACAGATATCATTGAAGAAGTGATTAGATAGAGGAGAATCTGTGGAAGGAAATCTCATCCCCACAATGTTCACTCACCTTGTCGGCTGCATCAGCCTGCCCAGCCCGAGGGGTCAGCCTCCCATAGGACGTCCAGTGCTCACATGGGGGGTCGTAGCCCTCTCCCCCGCATGCTGCAGCAAACAGCCCGGAGACAGACACTGTCTGACCGACACACTGAGAGCAGCTGCCCGGCCCTTCCCCGGCTCCTCCTCCTCACACAGAGAGGCTCACACTTCTGACTGACACTGGCTCTCCCTCTGATACATGCACTTCACTGATAGAGAGACTCACTAATAGAGAGAATCACTGAGCAATGATAGAGAGCCTTACAGCTACAGAGACTCACTAAGCAATGAGAGAGACATTCACTGATAGAGAGACTCACTGAGCACTGATAGAGAAACTTAGAACACTGATAGAGAGACTCACGAAGCACTGATAGAGAGACTCACAAAGCACTAATAGACAGACTCACAAAACAATGATAGAGAGAGAGAGACTCGCTGAGTAGTGATAGAGGAGACTTGCTGAGCACTGATAGAGAGACTCACTGAGCACTGATAGAGAGACTCGCTGAGTATTGATAGAGAGACTCGCTGAGCACTGATAGAGAGACTCACAAAACCCTGATAGAGAGACTCGCTGAGTAGTGACAGAGACACTCACAAAACACTGATAGAGAGACTCGCTGAGTAGTGATAGAGAGACTCAATGAGTAGTGATAGAGAGACTCACTGAGCATTTTTGGCTACACAGGCGAAGTTACAAGACACACAGGTAAAGAGGCACTCCCCCCCCCCAAAAAAATGCTTCTTCACCTGTGTGTCTCGTACCCTCTTTAACTCCTTTTGCGTTTCTTCTCCCCTCTTTTTAACGTCTTACCCCCTATTGCCCCATTTAGTGTATCTTATCCCCCTTTTGTGTGTCTATAATGAACAAGTCAGATCTTCCTGTCCCTTTGCACCTCCTACGCCACACCCCTCTGTCAGTCCTTGCATTTTTCAAAATATAAATAAGGAACTGCACTAAATCCCATTACTCCGAGCCAGGGTGCAACTGTACCAGGAATAAGCACCAAGTTCAAAATATAATGTGCATAAAGTACAAAGAGGTACAGACACTACAAGGTTCTTGTCCTTGGCTTCTTGTAAGATATATGGCTCAATTTACAATTCTGGTTATTGCCTTCAAATCTCTACGTAATATTGCTCCCACCTCTCTATCCTCCTTAATACACAAGTATGTCCCGTCTAGGCACCTACGCTCTACCGGAGACCTATGTCTATGCTCTGTTCATACTCCTACCTCTGATGCTTGTCTTCAAGACTTCTCTAAGGCTGCACCGTTCCTGTGGATCTCCCTTCCCTCTTCCATTAGATGCTCACCCAGTCTCTACTCCTTCAAAAAATCATTAAAGACTCACTTCTTCACAAAAGCGTATCAATGAAACTGTTAATAGCTCCCAATTGATTCCTGCAACTGTCATTAACCCCTTAAGGACACATGACATGTGTGACATGTCATGATTCCCTTTTATTCCAGAAGTTTGGTCCTTTAGGGGTTAAAGAACACACTAAGTCTTCAGTGAATACTCTTCTACCAATCTACTTTTCTAATACTATCCTTACCTTTTGTGTCAATTTACCCCACTCCCTCTAAGCTCATTGAGCGGGGCCCTCAACCCCTCTGTTCCTTTGCGTCCAACTTGTTTGGTTACAATTACATGTTTGTTAGTACATCCATTGTACAGCGCTGTGGAATTTGTTGGCGCTCAATAATAATAATAAGCACTAAAGTGTCGACACACCATCCACGCTGTACGATATACAGGGAGCAGGTGATGATGAATCATAATGTCATTCATATCTTCGCCCCCTGCACACAGCCTGCGGCATGAACCATTGTCGGAGGTTGATGGGCTGGATAGAGGTGCTGGAAGCATGTGACCAGTAGTAGAGGAGCACTGTGCTCTACCCTCCTGCATGCCACCTGGACATTGCGCCCCCCAGGCTGGTGCACTCGAAGGTGGCCTCCTTTGTCGCCTCATGGTAGTGCCGGCCCTGCTGATATTGATACAGAGCACTGATACAGAGAAAACTACCAGAGACACTCACAGAGCACTTAAAGTGACACATCAAATACTGAGAGAGACTCACAGCGAGACTTACAGGATTATTCACTTCCTGGATGGAAAAAATCTGGTGAAAATTACCAATTTCCAACTGCAATGGTAATTCTCATATTTACTATTCTAAATACGATCGGTACTGGCTGGCCTAAGTGAATCTGCAACAATAGCCCAGATGCATTCAGCGTCCGGATTAAAATCAGTGCTTCTCAAGTATAGCATTCGGAATATTCACAAAGCAATAGAAAGGTCTGAGACCAAATGCATTTTTGTAAGTGAATTATAATGTCAACTACCTATGTCACTCATGTTTATCGGATGGGAGAGTTCAATTAAAAAATGTGCCTGTACCTTTGGTGGCAAATGGAGGCCCTATTGATAATATTCAAGAGGGATAACTAGTGTGTGTGGAGAAATTCCTATGTCAAGTCTCCAGAGATAGACCACTCTGTTTGTTTGGGGGTTGGGACATTAGGTCTCCCACTTATAAAAAACCCAAACTATTTGCTTGGAACACAGACCTAATTTAGGCTCATTGGGAATTGCAAAATCCGGACACTGTTACATAACATGAACAATGTATGGATTTTGCAGTCCAAATTGCCTCTGTGCAGTTTGATGGTTTTTCTCCATTCAGTATAGGACCATTTGGACTTTAGTAAATAACCCTGTTATAGAGCATTGATAGAGATACATATCACTTACAGAGGGACCGTCCAACAGGATTATCCACTAAAGTGAGAATTCAAAGTGAATTTCAAATTTAATGTCAAAATAGCTAAATTGGAAGAATTCTCTAACCCAGCTTTGCTTTAAATCCAGCTACTTTGGTCTTAAATTTGAAAATCACTTTTAAATCTCACGATAGATAATAATCCTGAAAGAGTGCTGCCAGAGTTACAGAGCACTGACCGAGACACTCACAAATAACTGTCTGACTTGCAGAGTATTGATAGAAAGACTCACAGAATACTGACTGACTCATATGGAGTAATAGATTACTCTCCAGTGATAGAGAGACTCACAGAGCACTGATAGGGCATGGACAGACAGTTACAAAGCCAGGGCTGAAATAACATGTCATGTGCCAACAACAGAGAATTCTATTTTTTTTTTTTTTTTTAAGGAGTGCGATCGTCCCTTTGGTGAATTTTATCAGCTGTTTCAAGCACTGGGCACATTAATTTACTTAGACCCTTGAGTGCAAGCCTCCTGTGGAATAAATATATATATATATATATATATATACAAATGTGCATATTTTTTGCTTGTAATGCATGTGTTTCAAACTGTGAGTAAGTGAGTATATTCAGTTGTGTATGCAGGGTTAAAGATAACACTAGATTAATTAGGTTAATTTCACAATTAGATTAAATAGAATGAAGAGAATTAAAAGTTTGAGGTGGGTTATAGTTGTGGTATAAGTGCGTTAGTGCCAACAGTCCAGATTTTTTCAGGACAGTCTTGCAATTTTACGTACTGTCCCAGCAAAAATAGGTCCCGTGGACTCAGTTTAAAATGAAACGTCAGATCTCAAGATGTGGGAAGGGACTGGGCACTTGGACTGTGCAGAGAGCGCTTCAGCAGCACGGTCCGGTCAGTAAGTCTGGTCACTTGCCCCTTTAACACTCCACATTTACAGATGGTCCTGTCCCTTACACAGTCCTCTGTGCAGCCTGCTTTATTTCTTGCCCAACTCTGTCCTGACAGGTAGTAAGGAAGATTGGCAGCTGTAACAGAGGTGATGAGGATTATTGCGTTTAGAATCATAAACAAGTTTTTTTTTCAGATTTAGGTTTTGAGTGCTAATATTTGGGAATAAGGAAATGGTTTGTTTTGGGAGGGGATTAATTTAGGGCTAGGAAAAAAAGATGTTGAAGGCATGTGGAATTTGAAGAGATATTTGCAAAGTGCTCACTGTTCTAAGTCTTCTGTAGTCCAGGCAGCCATCTAAGATTAATGAGCAGGGCCCTCAACCCTTCTGTTCCTGTGTGTCCAACTTATCTGGTTACAACTACATGTCTGTTCGTCCACCCAATGTAAAGCGCTGCGGAATTTGTTGGCGCTACATAAATAATAACATAATAATAATAACAATGAGCAACGCTGCAGAGTGTTTATTCAGTGTGCATCACTCAGTGCTGTCCCTATTCTTTCTGCAAGACATTTTCCTGTGTGAGAGGTTACAAGTGATCCCTTCCACCTCCTGTCCAGCCTCACACACAGACACTGGAGGAGCTGGGACAGCACTGAGTGTTACATACACCCTCTATAACTGTTACTGCAGCTCACCCTATTCTTTCTGGGGACTGCCTCTTGCACTCACTTGTAGACTCCTCTTCTTACGAGCAGGAAAGGTGGATGTAGTGAGTTCGGAAGAAACAGAGACAGAAGCAGCAAGAGCTTTAGCACGGTGTACAAAGTCAGCTTTACCTTAACTAATTTCATTGTCAGGCAGACCACACAAGTTTTGTTCCTACATCCATCTTAAGTTTCCATACTTAATTCCCTTTCCACAAAGGAAGAGCAAATGAAGAATATAAAACAAATAAACAAATTATATATATTATAGATAGGAGCTTTCGCTCCATCAGTCCCTATGTTAATCCAGCCCTGCTGTCAACAGTGATTATTGTACCTATGCTGACCTTTTTAGCTACGACAATATTTGTGGATCCATTTTTTTTATTTTTAACAATGGAAAAAATATGTCACTGTCAACATGATTACTATATCCACTTCTAGGCTTTCAGACGTCCAGGTAGGTGCAATAGATCAACATGCCTCAAATCAAGTGCTTTCTTTCCTGCTCCTCCCATCAGTGACCAAGCAGCACATTACTAACAGGTGCTGGGCAGCTATTGGCTAATGCTATGTTCATCTCCCAGAGAGTTAAATGCAGCAAGCGGGGTTTCTGATTTAACATTTTTTGATTAAGCACAGTACATGATTTATTTCACAAATCAAATGTAAATGAAGACATGTTTTGAGTAGTATTTGGTGATCAGGGCAGAGATAGAACATGGTGCAAAATTAAGTGGGGAGTTAAGAACTGATAATGGGATTTGAAGCCGGGGTGTACAAATTAGGTATAGATATGAAAAGAGATGGGGTGCAAGAGCAAATTGCATTTGAAAGAATCAAATGAGTAGAATGCTAACTGAGCTAATGATCTGGGGGTTGTAGTCTCGTGGCTGAATAAACAATGTGCTGGAGGTGGAGGAGGATGATCAATAACACATGCATATCACAATCTCCTCTTCAAGGAATTCAAAAACACACTTACATTTTAAACGGATTGGCAGATGGTTAGATATTGGGTTTATATACCTTAATTACTCTCATTTTATTAAAGGGGCACTCCTTGTAGTGGTTATGGTGCCACAAGTCTATGGTCACCTTTTTTTCTGTCGAGCAAGAGATGGTGCCTCTAGCCTTGTAGTACCATAACTGCTGCAACAAGCTGTGGT